GTAGTAGTAGTGGGAGTAGTAGCAGTGGTAACATAGGCAGAGGAGAAGCAGTAATATAGGAGTAGGAGAAGCAGCGGCAGCAGCAGTGGCAGCAGCAGCAGTAGCAGTAGCAGTAGCTGTAGTAGGGGCAGGAGCAGTACTAGCAGCGGCAGTAGCAATAGGAGTTGTAGCAAGTACCAGCAGCAGCAGCAGCAGGAGTAGTAATTGCTAGTACTGGTACCAGTACTAGCACTAGTTGGGAGATCATTTATGGTAGAGCGAAGTAGTTGTGGGAAGAAACCTGGGGAGGACATTGCGTTTGCATCTGCACGGCATCCCTCCTCCGCCATGCTTGAAAATGGGAGAGATGAGACACTTCCAGACAAGGATTCAGTGCAATGACACGCTGACTGCTGAATAGCAGCGAAGTAGTCAATGCTATAGCGAGCTTGGTCAATCTGAGCACCAGGCGCATTATGGAGCCGTTTCCAGCATCCTGGCAAGATGCTTCCGTCAAGGAGCTGCTGCAACTTCACTGCAATTTATGATTATGCGGACTGGGTCTGCTGATTTCGCGTGTATATGATCATGGGTTATTATGCAAAGTGACGCGAAGTGCATAAGTACAGAACATACATGCATTTGTTGCTTTATTAACCCCTGCATTCATGCGTTCATACAGCATCATACAGCCCACATATTATGATCATATGGGCATGTGACATGCGTGGCGTGGGTACCTGGGGAAAAACCGGAAGCCTTGGAAGCGAACTTCAGACTGTCGTCTACTCAGATTCTGCGCGCCTCTCGGTTTGATTCGAACCGCGGCGACGGGCCTGTCTGCATTCAGTGAAGACTCTCGGCACTCTAGTGTGGAAAGAGGGCCGACACCATACCAGAAACTACTAGTCCCGCGAAGAAATCCTCCCGATCTGGGCGAAAGGCTGGAGTCCATCACGTCCTGTGTCAACGACGACGCCGACATCACTCCGAATGAACCCGTCTCTTGTCATGTCTATTGCAGATGCAAGTCCTTGAGCGAGACTGCCACGTTCCCCCCAAGGCCCACAGACTTTCTGCGCTCTGGGTCCTAGCCATGGCGAGCTTCTCAGCGCCGCATCGCAGACAGAGGTACCAGGAGTGAGCTGAGAAGCGGACTCGACGGAATGCGTTGTTGTAGCCACGGTGCCACCAGTTCCAGAAGCGCACGCGAATGTCCGCCCCGTCATATCCTCGAAGACATGTTCGAGCTCCCAAGCAAGCTACAAGTAAGCAGTTTGTGTGCAACCTGGAGCTTGGCTTTTCGGCGGGCCTTGGCACACCAGGAGGGAATCTGCCAAGCAGAGCCCCATGGAGGTGTCGTCTGTCCACCTGGGCAAAGAGCGAGGCTCTGCAAATCCGAGAGTAAGAACATTTGGGCACGAGCTGGCCAGGCTTCAGCTTGAACTTGTTGAAGCTCCCCTCCACCTACAAACCACAGCAATCGAATGAACTCCTCGCCGACAGTACTCTCTCTCCGTCTTAGCTGAAAGTACGGAAGCTGAATTTGGCTGGGGAGGGGCGGGGCTGGGGCTCTGGTGGCTGGGGTTGGGGCTGGCGCCTGGGGCTGGGATTGAAATTGACGGGCTGCCCCCTGCTCTCTGCCAGCTGCCCCCTGTATGCCCTGTGCCCTGGCCCTGCTGGGGTTGCCCAGCCCACAAGTTCCTGAACAGACTGCTCTCCTATTTCTGCCGGCGAAAATCGCAACATCTTGCGCCGCTCAACATACAACTGCTATGTTATAATTTGTTGGAGGGTTTAGGGTTTGGGGTTTAGGGGTTTTGGATTTAGGGTTTAAGGGCTTTTGGATTTGGGGTTTAGGGGTTTGGGATTTAGGGCTCAGGGTGTGGTTTCGTCATGGGTGCTCGCTGGTGTGCACACACCCAGGTCGGCAAACCGCCCAGAGTTCACGAATTTAGAGTTTATAGTCCTTTAGTCTTTTAGAGATCCTGGCGGGGGCTTTGCTGGCGGGTTCTCATGTAGGCTGTCCTGGCGGGTGCCGGGAAGAAGCAGTGGGCTTTCTGTGAGGCTGTGCTGGGAGTTGCGAGGAGACAAGCAGCAATGCATGTGGGCTTTCTGTGAGGCTGGCGGGTTCTCACGTGGGTTTTCTGTAAGGCTGTCCTGGCAAGCGCCGGAAGAAACAGCTTTCTCTGAGGCTATGCTGGCAGAGACAAGCAGCAATGCATGATTGTGGGCTGTCTCATTATGGGGTGTGCTTTCTGTGAGGCTGTGCAGACGACTGTACGCATGCACCTTAGATAAAAATCCATCCGCGTGCACCCAAACAGGCAGCGCTGAGTGTAATGTTTACAAACTCCGTTGCAAAGCACTCGCAAAACGTGCTTCCAGACTTTGCGAACCCTTCTCAATCACAGCTTAAAGGCGGGTGTCAACAGGGCGGACGTCTGTTTGATTTTAGCTGTTGTCGCGTCGACGATGCTTGAGAGACAGGGTGTCCTTGCCATCAAACCTGTAGTTGAACATGCCACAGCAACACAGGCCAACACAGCCATACTTAGCATCAAGCTCCACCAAGTTTCTGTCCTTCTTGGAGTCTGAAGACGGATGTTTCAGGTGTCTGTTCAACAACACACCTGCCAGTCTCCGTTGCGTGCTCAAAGCCTCAATTGCGGCGTAGAAAGCGTTGTTGAGTCCTTGGAGCTACTCCGAAGAGACCCCACTTCCCTCCCAGTTCCCAGCATTCCCCGCCTGCAGCGTCTTGGGATTGAAGCGTGAGCCCTGGCCAGCAGAGCTTTGCAGAGCTGTTGAAGGCAGAGGAGGCACAAGCAGGCGGGACCTTCTTCCCAACAGGCAAAAACTCCAGGAAGGCACCGACCGAGTCCGCCACGGCCATGCCAACCATGGCTCCCATCTGATGGAAAGCACGGAGCACGCCCCCACCCTGCTAGCGCCCCAAGGGCGCTCCGGGGCCCCGGGCTGCGCGCTCTGCAAAGATCTCTGCTGAGGCCAAGCGCAAGACCTGCCGAGATTTGTTGAGACATTCCAAGCCTCCAAGCACGTTCGAGCCTCCCGCTTGATCCGCGGAGGCATCGAATCCAAAATGCTAAACTTCTGGACATCGGGAGCAAAGCTGCCTGCGTGCTGCGTGCGAGGGCGATGAGGTTAGGAGCAGGTCAGGTTGTCGAAATTAATCATTAGTCGCTCTGCAGACCTTAGCCTTAAGGGTTGGGCTTTACGTGAAGTGAAGAAGAGGAAGTTCCAAAGTCGACTTGAAGATCGCAGCCCGGCAGTGGCGAGGCCGAGATACGCCGAGTAAAAGTCTGAGCTTTGGGCCCACATCCAAGCGGTCCCGACCTGGCGGCGTGAGAAGCCAGGAATCTCGCGACTCGCGACAGAAGCTGAGCTGGAGCCCTGGCATAGCAAAGCGGCTGCACGCAAGGTGATCGACTGCAGGGCATCCTCCGCGCGAGTTTTAAGCAGCTGAATACTTCGATGAAAAACTACGCCGTACGCACCACTTGGGGGGACTCTGGCCTGCAGCTCGTCCGGTGCAAGCTCGGGAGGTACTCCTGAAAAAGGGCATTTCTGGCTCTGCTCCCCAGCAGACGACACCTACAATTTCGCCAGCCGTCTGCTAACTGCCGCAATGCGTGAGGCAAACACCGTGGGAACATGCCGCAATGCTGCTGCAATGCGAAAACGAGAATGCAGCCAAAGTTCCTAACACAGGATCAACATAGCAGCTTTAGCATGAATCTGCCTGCTAGCCACCACTACTTACCGAGCTGGTTGCAGCAGTGCCTGTGATCCCCTCGTAACCACCAAGCGCTTGCGACGGATTTTGGGCAATTTGGGGCAAGCGGTGTCCCCACGTCCACGCAGAGCTTTGTCGCAGCAGAAAGCCAGGGAGGCATCTAGCACAAGCCTACCAAGCTGGTTGTGATGCTGGCTGGAATGCAGCTGACTATGCTGAAAGTGTGCGCATTCAGAAGCGCTCTTCCGAAGCAGGACTTGCAGGCGCACCTCCCCGGCGGGCTTTTGCCGTAGCATTCCCCGCTTCCGATGTCTGCAAAATGTGTATCCAACCGATATAGCCTATAGCTGATTCTGCTGCGATGCTAGTAAACGTCCGCACTGCTACTTGCCAAGATGTGCAAAGGAATTGAATTACAACCCACTTTGATGTATCGTGGCCCGACCCGATGCTGCTCTCTACCAGAGCTTGCAAAGCAGGCAAGTTTGACACGGTCGTGTGGAAGTACAATACAGGGAATGATGCAAAACCTTGCGATCTCCGATAACACAGGAACGGGAGGCCACTGGGATGCACCGTGCTCTAAGAGCAGAACCTCAGGGCATTCAGCGCAGCATCTGGAGACACCAATTCAAGTCGGTGTTGTACCTGGCCGTCGTCTTTGACAACCCGGCGCATCTCTTGCAATGCCTCGCAATACCACCACGAGACACCCCGAGTGCGATGACGGGGGATTCGCAGTGAATTTCGCTTCGACCTGGATAGGCTGCTCGAAGGAGCAAATGCCAAACGTATCCACGACGGTGTCGAAAGAACCGTCCTAGTCGGAGAGGAGACCGTTGTCAGATGACAAGTACAAAGCATGCCCCGCAGCTGATGCTCCTTGAAGTCCATCTGGTGCGTGCTCGCCAGCTTCAGTCGGAGGGGGATTGGCTGGCACAATTCCAAGGCAAGGCAACAGGATATTCAAAACATTGAGATTGAGAGGCACCGCACCGGCAGAAGAACCCCGAAACCCCTTAAAACAAAGCATTGATCGATCAAAAGCTTACGAGTGGACCTCCGAACTGACTTGCGAAAGCTCGCTCACCAGCACACCTCCAGTTCCTTCCGCTTCTCTCCGGCAACCTGCCAGCGTCGCTGATGTAAAGACCATGGGACATGACAGGGCTACAATGCTAGAGCGACGATGCGCCTCCAGCATCTCTCGGCTGAAGTCGATTGCTGTAAGGCTCGTCACCTTCCCAGCATTGTAGTACCTGCATTTGCAAACATACTTATTTGGATGAGCAAGCTTTTCCTGTTATTGCGTATAGGCCTTGTAAAATCTGCTGCTGGCAGCAGAAAAGTGTGTTTTTTTACATGCAATGTTTAAAGCATTGGCATTCACCCTGGGTCACGAAAAATTTCGTCCGCTTCCCACCGCGACTTCGAGGACGTTGCCTGAGCTCCAGGCCCAACTCTCAAACGTCTGCCTAGAAAGTCTTGGGCACTGCCAGGAATGTGTGCCCTGCAGTCGCAGCGAAGAACAGGACAACACTGCTGTGAACTTAGAACGGAACCTGACGCGCGCTGGACCAATCTCCTGTGGTCTCCGCGCTAGCAAAAGCATCGGCAGCACAGGCATCGACTTTTCGCTGAGAGCACAAAAATGGATTCGTATTGACAAACAGAGCTCCATGCAACGATCTGAGGTCGTACAGCATGCGATCTTGATTTGGGGCGCGCAGCCTTCGCATTCTACCGATTCCGGCAAGGAATTCGTCGGAACGAACCTGTCATGGCAAGCATTATACAAGCACATCAGAGACTCAGAGACTCTCTGAAGCCGTTTCCCGAATACAAGAGCACAACTACGCATACTACGCAAAGGTCGAAGCAGCACCAAATCCACAACATGCCGCAACGACCGTGACGTCCCATCTTTTGGCCTCGGCAAGGCTCTGAACCTCTGAACGCCCTTTCCGCTTTCCTTCGCCCAGGCCGTTGCAATGCCTTTCATACATCCAAGCCCCAGTCGCCCTTTCCTGTCTTCCCAACTTGGCTCTCGATGTTACACTCCCGAACGATGGACTTCGTAGAACAGTGTGAGTTGGCTTCTGCCACAGATGGTCTTCGAATGTCGTCGGTATTCTGCTTGGCAAGTCCAAGTTGAGTCGTGAACAACCCCATTTGCACGGGCTTGCAGCCCATAGGCTTTGCTTCGGGTCATTTGCAGGAATTGTACAGGCTTGGGGCCATGCTGAGCCCCCGGCCAACGTGTCGAAGGTCTCCTTTCGGGCCTTTTCGGAGGGGCATGGCCTGCACACTGTGCTTCGGTCGCAAGCGCCAATCTTCGGTCGGAGTAGAACAAAAGACATTGAAAAGTGCTGTTCCGGCTTCGGTGGCGGAGGCGACGCGAAAAGCTGGGTCACCACGAAGGCACCGACGCAACCGCTGCCTCGCTGGGCGCTCGCACGTTTCAGAATGCATCTCACAGTGGCGTTCTTTACTTCTTTCTTTCGTCTCGGCATCTGGCTTAGTGCACCCAGAGCCAGGGCCGCTTGGCGCCCTGAGGGCGCCGCCATTCGAGGTCGGCAAGCTTGAGATAAGAAGGGAGTGAAAGATTACCGGTGAAGATGCTTGGCTGTGAGGATAGGCGAAGTCGAGTTATGTCTGGAAAGGGCAGGGGCTTCAGCTCTACAGCACAACAAGATGTCAAACAAGGTAGCTTCAGGGTGAGAACGCAGGTGCGCGCTTGTTGATTCTCATAATCATATCGATAAGTGCATTGTGCTCAAGCCGAAGCTGCAATTAGCGTCTGCGATCGGAGCTGCTGCCTGCAAGGCCCACGAATGGGCACATCTGCATGAAGGCGAACCTGCAGTTTGCTGCACCCGCGCGCAAGCGCTTGGTCGTCCGCAGTGGGATCACACAGAAAAGGCGCAGGGTTCCCTGCGGCTTGTGCCTGTCATGGCAGGTGCCAGCCTCTGAAGGCTTCAAATTTCTCGGCTGCTGTACATGGGAGCTGCATATGCAGGCTCCTGTGTCGAGTGCCGAACCCTCGACGCTAGAGTTGCCAAGACGGCAAGCACCAGGACTGACCGACGACAACCCCTCACCGAACAATTCAAGGAAGCTCTGCTCAGTCGACGGCAATCTTTGAGACGACGCTAGGCATTGACATGAATTGCCCAAGTTCTCTCAAAGAGAGCCAGCCGTGGCCCCGCTACAAATGCAGGGGCTCTTCCTCGAGAAGAGCTGGCTATAGAATTGCCGGTGCCGAGAGGCCATCATGGGCCGAATTGCAAGATTCCAGGGCTCTTTGTCGAGAATTGGAAAAGTCGCTTGGTTCGGCGCAGAGATTTCTGATGTGATCGAACCATGCAAACCGCAAGCTCAAAAGAACCCTAGAACCTTTTAAAATAGTTGCAGCTGTGTGCGTCATGCAGGACAAATGGGAGCGCGGCCCATTGCTGTTTCGGGGTCGCAGCCGGATCTTCAACAGATTTGCCCCAAGGGCTTGCAGCTGCGATCTTGCAGCCAAGCCCACGATCATGACGACATGACCCTTTCATGCCGGGATAACCTTGCTGAGGGCTTGTTCAACCTTCCACATTGTACCTGAGAAATGCAAAGTTATCCCCTGCGCTTCCTAGTGGGATGGTGAACACCTGTGAGCATGCTTCAATGAACATCTCTATACAAAGCGAGGTGATGTCAAGTCATACCTGTACGAGGCGCCCAAGGCACACCTGAGCCGCTCAGACATGTTGTGAGTACAGCAAATCAGAGACTGCAACACAGGGATCCCCACACAATGTCCAGTGCAGAGAGCACCCCGATGACGTCGCCATCTTCGTCGATGACCTCTCGAAGGTCATGGAAGGAACCCACGTCGGCTGCTCAAATCTTCAATTCTGAAAGTCTTGCAATCAAGCTTCGAGCAAGTGGTGCAGGTCGCACTCTGACATAACGAGTGCCGCCTGCCCAGGGACTAAATAGCTATGTCTCGAACACCTCGAGTACCTATGCTGTAGCCTGCTTGCTTTCCGACATCTGTTTCCGAAACAAGCTGCCTCTGCCAGCGTCGTGCTGCATCCAATTGATCTCTGAGCAGCTGTCTTGTGCTCCTGTCCGGTGCTTCAGCTGGGTCCAACTTTCATGAGCAGTCTCCCCGCTTAGTAGAAAACACTTTGGGAAGTCATGCTCATCTGTCAGGGATTGAGCTCGTCCTGTGTGTTAAGCCCTCGCAGCCATCCGGCGACAGTCGTGGTGTTGCCTTGCGGAGGCTTTTAGCCGCTCGTCTCGACTCGCTGGTGCCGGAGGCCTCTGAGGTGCTCAGAGAAGGCCCGCAGGGCATCTGCAGAAGTGATGACACCAAGGACGGCTCCGTGCTCCTGCAGTCAGTCTTTGCCAGGAGGGTTCTGACACATTTTGAGAAAGCCGTTGAGGTTGTTCGGAAGGTGAATAGTTCGGGCTCACGGTCTGCGCATTTAGACTGTTCAGCTTTGGCATAACGTAGCGGCGCTTCATACTCTCGGGGGGGATGCGCACTGCAATTGCGGCTCTCTTCTTTGCCCGTCCTGTTGCCACTGCTCGTCCTCTTCAGTAAGCTCCTCCTGAGCTCATGCTCTGTCATTGAGTACTAGCTCAATGCGCTCTGTAGTGCAGGCGAGGCACTTGTTCTTCAACTTTGCATACTGGCAGGTCATCCAGTGCCTCGTCCACTGAGCTCGGTCCACCCGAGACGATCAGAGCGCAGTTTTGCCGTGCGTCCTTAAGCCGTGGTCACTTGCGACAGAACGCCCGTGGGACGGTCTAATGAACTTGCAGCGTAGGAATACAGCACAGCACTCCTTGCTGCAAAGAGGCATGCATTGTTTCGAATGCCTTCTGCAAGGAGTCCCGAAGTTTGCAGGTTGACCTAAGACGCCCAGCGATGCATTGGGACTTACTTCAATCGCAAAAGGTCCTCGCAGGTTCTTGACAAGATTGGTGTGCTGCCGTGGGATCTATGAAAAATACTATTCAAAGTCATCTCTGTGCGATACGGCTCAAAGAGCAGTAAAACATGAAGACTCTGCGTTCCGTATCAGCACTTATGTCTCTGAAGCTCCAAATCGGCGGTGGGCTTGCTTTGAAAGATTCGACTCAACATGCATCTAGTTAGTCTGGCGATTAATTGCTAACTTGACAACTTGCGAGGCTGCACGAGAGCATTAACGGAGCAGGCTAAGCGGCACTCCAGTCCGGTCCTTCATAGCTTGCTCAACAGTAATTTCGGAGGCGGCAATGACGGAGTCTGCAGACGGACTGCCCTCACCGATGATGGCACGTGTGGCGATTGTGTCAATGATGCCACGGGCAATGTCCAAGGCGGAGAGTATGCGAAGGGACTCTCCCTCTTCCTTGGCATGGACCAGCATGTGATGGCATGTGAAGCCAATGCCGTCTTCAGCAAGGCTGGTCATCTCAGCTGCAGCATCGGCTATGCTTGCAGTGTCTGGAAGTGTCAGAGCAGGAACCATGAAGCCGGGGAGACGGGCATAGCTGCCCATCAGCCACTCTCCAATTTGGCACTGCCATGGGGTGCCCTCCACCAAAGCAGCAAGAACGTCATTCTCGGTGAGGACACCTTGTACTCTGCCGTCGTCCAACACAACTGCTGCCGTCCGCTCCGTCGACACAAGTGCATCCACTGCGTCTGACAGTGTGTAGCTCATAGTTACCGTTGCCGTTTCTCTTCTGGCCACGATGTCGCCCAAAGTGACTGCCTGTGTTCTGGCATCGCTCTCCAATTCTCTTTCCATCCTGTTCTTCCTCATCACAGCCCGTTTTTTGGGAGCAGGCTCTTCGCATTTCACCTCTTCCAGTTCGAGCTTGACCTCTGTTTTGATGGAAGCTGCCGGATGCTCATCCGTCTCCTCCTTCTTGACAACTCTCTCTGCTTCTCGGCTTTTGTGCCTCCGTTCGACCTTGATTTGAGGTGCGCAGCTGGGTACTGCAACTGGTCCCGAGTTGCGGGAAACCTGAGTCCGCACGGCTGACACCCGTGGAACACGGAAGGTTATGGATGGAGCAGCTCTCGGACTCTGAGCCAGGGAGCCACGTGTTCCGGTGAGACGACGCCGACAACGTTGCTTGTCCCGGGCTCCATTGCTACAAGGTGGCGGACATTGCCTCAGTGGCACGACATAACATTGGAGTAGACGTGGTCACATGATGTCAGCATCTTCTATTCAACGCCCTATCATTACAAGATGCTCTCCGGTGCTGCCAGCGCGTTCAGTGCATGAGACCTTCGCGACACCATCGACAGGACGTGTGACTGAAAGGTTGTAACCAGGAATTCTGCTTGCTTAAGCCGACGGCAAATCTGCATCCGATGGGATTGCTTGGCCGTTGAGCGCCGGTCGGCCAGGTCTCACAAGCGCTCGTGAGTTTCAATTTCCGTGGTGAGAGCCGACTTGGAAGTGTCTCCTTCAGCCCCGGCCTAGATGCCAAGCGATCCCAAACATCAATCGTGTGCGACAGCTGCTGATCGAAGGCCCAGAGGGCATCCTCAGCCGCTGCTGATTGCATCGCGGTGTCGGCCCCACTTGCATACTTTGACAAGAAGCTGCAACAGTCGCCAGGCCACGAATCCGGCTGCCATCCATGACCTGCTTATGTGATTGGTTCTAGGGCATCCCGTGCTACAAGTAGGTGTTATTCAATGTGCTCCTGATGCTGCCACATAGAGACATGGCACAAAGCCCACGGGGCTTAGGCGCTTTGGGGATGAAGGGCAAAGAGACGCTAAGCAGGGGCCACCTACGGCCTAGAAGTGTGATAAAGTCAGAAGGAGGTTTCATGTCCACCTGATTTGCAATGATGGCAGACTGTAACACGCGACTTGGCCTGGAGAGCTTCGTTTCGTTTCTGTTGGATCACTGCGCGAGAGGACAGGCGGCTGGGTATGGACCGTCGTGTTACAGCAGAGAGCTGTCGGCGACTTGTACAATAGCGCTTTGAGGCTAGCACTATGAGTCTTTCTACCAACGCTCATTTCCACAATCACCGCAAGCGTTCACAGGGTTTTGGGTATGTTTCAGGGTCTGTTCTATTAGACTTTCCCCGGCGCACCAGGGCAGCGCGGCTGGGCGACGCCAAGAGCTCCTTTCCGACTTTCGGATTCGGCAGGTCAACGTGGGGAGCCTTTCTCTATGCCTTTACGCCTGCCGAAGAAATTTCGACTTCAGGGACGTCAGCAGGCTCCTGTAGCAGTTCGCGGACGGTGAAGCCGGGTCGCAATGCTGGGGCCTGGGGGAGACACATTGAGACTCGCTGCGAGCCCAGAGGAGAAACGGACGAGCCGGCATCCGGCCTGGCCAACCGGCTCCATGATGTCAGAGACGTGAGCTCGGCTCAGGCCCAGGAGGTCAAGCAGCTGCACCTCTCAACTCGGGCGCATCTGTGACGACTCGGGAGACAACAAGAATCTGGTCAGTGCAAATCAGCTCATGGGGGGGCGACCTGAACCAACTTTATCCGAGAGCTGGAGGCTGGGGCTGTGAATTGCCAGATTCCAGCCTGACCCTCCGCAAGAGCTAGCACAATGTCCCGGGCGGACAGCCTGGTATCGAGCCAAAAGGAAGCCCATTGGAAGGGGCAAAGGCGCTCTTTGCATGCATGCTTTCTTGATTTCTTAGCGTTAGAAATATTGTTGCTTGTCGGAGCACATACATCTTGGAAAGTAAACCGGAGTAGCCGCTGCATGCAGAGCCTTGACCCACAGGTGATGCTTTGGGGTTAAAGATAACGGTTCTCATCTTGCAGCATGATGTGTGCTGTATCACCCAGGTGAGGGGAGAGGTAGACATCATCCTTTGCCATCAATGTACCAGAACTTGACATTCGTTCGCGGCATCTTTGGTGGATCCTGAAAGATTCGATTGATGTGCGCTCATGTGAACTTCTCATCTCTTCAGTTTAGGTCCAGGTCTTCTAGGCTTCACTGTCTCCAGGCCGAGCGTCAATCCTCCCGCATAGCCTCTGTTGGGCTGCCGCTCAACCAACAGCTGCCTCAAACAGTCGCGGCCAGACTCCAGATTCTGATCCGCCACTAGCCCTAGGATTGCAAATGCAATCTCACGACCAACTGTGACAGCCCTGCGAAACTCTCCAGGTGTCCGGTTCAAGCTTACCAAGGCTTGAGCTGATCTTCCAGGGTTCACGGTACGGACACGGCAGCGCTTAGTACTCAGTCTCTCCACTTTGTGGCTTTGTCAGGTGGACAACTACATTGGTAGGATGTTGAAACCGATGCCAACGAATGCAACTGACTTTTCACGTGCCCATGAAACTACGCGCTGTGGACGTTTCGTAACTGGTACTCTGCAGGGCATTGGGCACAATAAATGCTGCGCAATGTCAAAAGGTCACACGCAGGCCTCACCTGCACATAACCCTTCACTCGATGGCTGCTGCTGTAAATTTGTTTACAGCAGTCTCTGCACTTAGTGGCTTCCTCAGATTGACCATGGTTGGCCCTTAAAGCCTTAGAGACAAGGCCTTGCACACGAACCACCCTGACGTGCACGTGGTTGAGTAGAATGTCTTCGGCATCACGCAGCTTTAACTGCAAGAGATCTATTTCTCGTTCTCTCTCTCTCTCTCTCGCCCGCCCTCTCTCCAGGCTGCGAGCTCGCACTTGCTGCTCCTGCAGGTTTTGAACTCCACCAAGGGACTTTCGTCCAGGGTGGCTCGGCTGCACACGCAAGGGCCTGTTCCCCCCGGAGCGGGTCTGGCCCGAAAACACAAAACTCAACCGACCTGCTCGACACAGTTACATGTACTGCACACTTTGAGGCTCCGGCAATCCCTGCGTCAAAGCAAAAACAAACCAAGACAAATTAAGAACGCAACACAAACATGTTCACTGTAGGGATCATACCGAAGCAGCTTTGGGCTGCCCCCGAGTTTGGTGTATTTCTCATTCTCTCGCTCCCATCTGGTTCAACCTGTCTCTTGTTAGATTTGATGCTGCCTGCCATATCAACATGATTGCTCCTCCGAGGCACGGCCGCGGCGCGTGCCGAGACGGCGCAGGTCGCAGAGAAGGCAAGGCTTCGCGAAGGGGCCTGGATGCCATTGGATTTGGAAGAGCCACATTTTGCCACAGGACTATAGAGAACTGCTGGAAAAAACTGCATCGCTTCAGTGTTATACTTACGAGGATGACAAGGAGAGAGGCCCATCCATTTGGTTCGAAGGCGCTCTGTGGTTTTCGCAAAGGCCTGGCTCGGAGAGTTTGGCACCCCGGCTCCAAGCACGGAACCTACCGAGAGTCGTGCTTAAACACTTGAAGGAAATCCGGAAGCTTTCCACGTCCAGTGCAGTGCCTAATTTCTGGAGCTGAAACGCTGGAGCTGGCCTGGCAAATCTGTTGGAGCCCAAGGCACTGTTCACTGCGGGTCTTCTCGAGACCCGGTGCATCAAAGGCCACACCGCCTCCTGCCAAGCGCTCTTCCACTGTCGTACACAACTGTGAACAAGGCATGTTTCTTTCAATTCTCAGAAACCTATGGAACTGCGTACGACTGTTGAGATCTTTTTTCCTGTCTTTGTCCGGACACCACCCCTGACCTGTGGAGCCCATATCACAAGTTAAGCAAGAAACAGACGCAACAGGCATGCGGCATGCCCGATCACGAAGCTCTTACAATGCAGCATCGAAGACGTTCCAAGACCATGGCCTCCTCGCATCCATTGTCCGACTGTCGTTGTCCAGGGAGCACCTTGAACATAATCTTCGCGGACATGGACGGTCAACCCCGGGAACTCGACATAAGTGCAGAATTCCGGCAGGTTAGGTTTCCAAAGCGGTCAACAAGAGCACCTCGACGACAGTAAGTCAGAGTTTACTGACGATGTCCGAGAACCATCAGGAAAGAGAAGCTCGTTCTGAATCAGGGGAGTTGTTTGAGATGTTCTCTTTGAAGCTCTACATCCTTGCTGAGTCACAGCACCGTTCTCAAAGCTGATGTAAAATTCGCCTCGACCCCATCCGAAGCGGCCAGAGGTTACAACAATAGTTCGCTGTTTCCCCTCCTCAACACCCAAGGAAGCGCTGCATCGCGCAAAAACAGACATGTCGAGGTTGAGTAGAAACCTCGACTAGAGAGGCGTCCAAATACTCCACCCTCAACACAGATGTAGATCAAAAACTGCCAATGGAATGAACCCTGTTTCCACTGTTCCCGTTATATCGCTGGAGAAGCAACAGTCTCGTCTTGAAAATGAGGGACTGTATGAACCAAGAATACCTAGATGTCCGAAACTTCGCGCTGCAACATGCTGCCGCGCCGCTCTGTAAAATATCATCTTCCGTGATGACGCCCACTGGTTCGCTCAACCTTGGTCGTATGCAGGCTGAGCATAAAGATGCAGGCTGCTGGAAAACTGAACACCTGGACCTGGACTAAGACCAGAATGAGTGAGAGACGTCCAGCTTCAGCTCGAACATATCGCGGCCTACCCGACTCCAAGCTACAGGCTCGAGGCCGATCTCATCCAAGAGGCTCGTTGACCACGCAGCCAGCAGCTTGACCTGTGTACTTTGAAGGTAAAGTGGGACAGAGAAAGGATATAGAATTCCCATGCCTGTGGACAGGAAGAGCTTTGCGACCTCTCGGAGAGTAAGCTGCGTGGAGCACGGTGGAAGCGCTCCTTCGAATGCCACCAGCTCAAAGCCAAGCGAAATGAAAGCGGAGGGGGGGTCGGCAACAGACTGAGGCGGCTCTCGACCTTTTTCCCAGTCTAGAACAGGTATGGGATGCCATGAGCGGCTAATGAAAACCTCAGACTAAACGAACTATGTGCAGGCTCCATGTGAGGAGCATGGCTTGGCAGCTCAATCACCAGGCAGGATGCATTCCGATCAGGGTTCAAACCCCCCCTAGTCGGGCATGCTCAGGTATGCGCTAATGCTATATCTCTGCTAGGCAACGTGCCCTCTGTAGGGCGTGGCGCAACTCGAAGCTGAAGCCCTCTTTTGAGTGGCATGTCAAGAGTCAGAGAGCCCGTCGCAGTGGCCGCAGTCACACATTCGCCCAACTGTCACGGCAGATTGGACATGCATTGGCCGATCTCTTCAGATTGAGCCAATCAGCATGACAGCTCTCATGAAAGAAATGCCCACACGGTAGCAACGTCACGAGGTCTTCAGACTTGTAGTCTTCCAAACAGCAGACACAAGTCTGCTGCTTGCCAGGCGACTGCCACAAAACTTCGATTTCCTCTAGAACCGTCGTGGCTGACTTGGCCCCTTTTGCAGTTTGTGTTGTCCGCATCTCAATACGATGGAACTTGGGCTGGGCACCCTCCTCGATCTTACCGACACGCATGGAGGCCCAAATGTGTTCCTGCACGTGCTGCGAAGCACGCTGCCATCTGTCGCTGAGGAGCACGCGGATGATAGCCCCCATGGTGATTGACCCAACGGCCAGTCCCAGAAGCATGTTTGGAAGCACAGACCTGTCCGGGAACGTCATGTAGCAAACAAGGCTGGTGACACAAATTGATGACCAGCAAAATAAGCTAGCTCCCAGTATCCGCATGCGTGGCAACGCATCCAGGAAACCCAGGTCAGCAAGGGCAGACATTGCGCAACAGAGAGGTTCCCCCACACAAACGACTTGAGCCTGGAAGGCCCCATCGAAGGACTCTGAACCCACTGACATGCAGGTAGTTCCAAGCAGGAGGCTGCAGGATCGAAATCAATTGATGTCCAAGCATCCGATTTGGCAAGCGAAGTCGCCAACGGTCGTGGCTTCTTCATCGTTTGGCGAGGGAGGCCTGTGCAATCAGCAAACGCGAGACGCGCGCCGCTAAGCCATGGACAAGTGGAGCACCTAGAACTAGTAGCTTTACCGGGTCGAGTGTAGAAGGGGCAGACATCACCTCATTCATCTGGGATGTCTGGTCTGCTGTCGACGCAGAATTCCGTGAACCAAGTTTGGCTGCCCGGACTGAAAACTTAAGAAAAGCTACGTTTTCGGATGTGATCTCTGAGCGGGGTGGAGGGCTTCCGCTTTCGATTGCTGGAAGCGGCAAACATGAAATGACATGAACGCCTACTGAGCCCACTGTTCCAAAGATACCCGGCCTAGAGTACGAGTCACATCAGGCCACCGCGTTGCAAGACGCTGGTGTGTTGCTTCCTGAAGGCTTCGAAACCCCGTCGCTCCTCGTCGGTGCTTCATCCATGGACATATCCACGACCGGGCTGCCCGTATCTCGCATTTGATGAGCGCATGTCATTTCCAGGCCAAGACTCAGCAAAGGAAGCGGCAGAGAGTCCGCGCCTGCAGCGGAAGGTCGAGCTTTCTGAGAGGCCATGAGGACGGCTCCTTTCAGAGCTGGAATCAAGACAGGGTCCCTTGTCATGAGACGCCAACAGGGGGCCTGAAAGAGACTGGCCAAAGTTCACCTTTCCAGCGGCTGCACGGCGCGATCGAGGGCCGAAAGTGCGACGGGACTTTGCTCCACCAGCAGATGCTGATCACGTCGGATTTTTCACGCCTGTGCGACCATGATGGACCATGCAAGCGATGGTGCGGCATGCGGCTCGGTGTCTTTGCTCCACATGCTTCGACAGCAGGCTATGCCGTCTTCGCTCTCGAGTCTTGGTGCGGCCAACTAGAGCCTCCTGAGAATCAACTCTCAGTTCAAATGCCAAGCAGCGCGCTCGGCAGTGATTTGTCTGTACAGGTGCAGGTGCAGTAAATTCCCGGCCTGCGAAACTCGTCTCTGCTGACAGTGGGCAGCTTCAGTCCTGGCAAGCGCACCTTGGATTGCCTTTGGATGAAGCTGTCCATTGCCATGCAGCAACAACAAAAGGAAGCCGGACTCCTGTAACTGTACAGAACATGCATATTGAATCGGAGTCTCAGCGCGCGCTGTTCGCGGCAACCAGCGGATGCAGACTCTTTAAGTAGCAGGGTGTGAATATGACCGAACACGACAAAGGTGCTCTCGTGCGCCGCTGGTGCTGTCCTGCTTGACTCCCCAAACCTACTTAGGCAAGGACTCCAAGAAGAAGCCCTGCGTCGCTCGATGTCCTCTCATCGGCTATCTCGACGCTTTGCACAACCTGTCTCGGATGATGGTGTACAAGATATCGAGTCATACCGGATCACATGCGGACAAGAGGTTTCCAGAACATCTTGGTACGAGTACGAAAGCAAGGGCTATGGATCTATCTCACGGTGGATAACTCAGCAGCGTACCGCAGATCACTTGAATACAGGTTATAACTTGACACTTAACCTTTACGAATGGAAGACATCCTGGCAGTGCTCGGTCTCTCTCACTTCGCTGCCAGAAACCATGGCCTTCACGCCGTCATGATGCGACCAGCAGCGCTGTGACATTGAAAGCCGCGCACAGGCTGTGAAGCTTCAATCCTTGGACATCTCATGCTTCAGAAGGGCATGGCTGCCCTATCACGGATTCCAACTACCTCTGCAACAGCTGTCATGTACTGGTCCATTGGTCTATGGCAGCCCAGATACCGTGACAGCCAAAGCTCGCAGCGATTGAGGCTCCTGGCAATGCGAAGAAATCCACCGCAAGGCCAAGCAGACATCCGAGGGCCCTGTGTCATAAAATATAACTCTATCTATCTATCTATCTATCTATCTATCTATCTATATATATATATATCTGTGTGTGTGTGCGTATGCCTATTTTTTCTTCATATTGATATGCCTGTGACAGCAATAATTCCTTATCTCCCAAATTATGAAAGGAAAAGGAACAAGTGGTAGTAGTACCACGTGAGTGAAGCATGATCCACAGGGTCGGCAAAATAACCGGTCGACTTTGTCATTCGGGTCTGGCCGCGCCGAGCAAAATGACCAGTCATTTTGGTTCGGGTCGGCGCGGGAGCAAGATGACCAGGTTATTGGTGTCATTTTGGCAGGGCAGGCACCAATTGTACCACTTGCATCACTTGCGCCACTCACCCCTCGGACACCTGGCTAGTCATCTTGCTGGCCGCAAGTTCATACCACTTGCACAACTTGCGAACCAGAATGACCACCCCCCTCCGCCCTCCCCTTCGGATACCTCTCACTTGCAGTTGCACACCTCAACCCCCCTTTCCAAATTTCACGCTCACGAACTCAATGATTCGTTGGTGGCAGCCACGCATCGTGCAGCTCTATTGTCGGAAGGAGGAAGGAGTGGTTGTGGCAAAACTTTGGATCAAGGGCATGGGGGCAACATGACCCCTCTGTGGATTGTTCCGCTGACCCATCCTTCCGGAGGTTCGCCAGCGCATTCCCGCCCCAACCCTGATGAGGCCCACGCGCATGTCCCAAAGATGAGCAGTGCGTCAGTGTGACTGCCGCCGAGGTAGCCCCGCAAAGGCTTATCCGAAGAGATGTGAGTACGTGCAAACACTGTTTCCAACACAAGCACAAACAAGCACGTGTATTCCGAACAATGGAAGGTAATCGACGAGGCCCTGACCACTCTATTCCCATGCAATCTTCCGTGAGTGCACATAGGCCTGCATGCCAGATGCATGAGAACTTCAGCGGCAAGTTGTGTGCGCTTGCAACTGCTCGCACATGCTGCATGTCGCCCGTTCCTTGGCAGAGCTCCAGCGTCGATGCTTTGCGAACGCCTGAAGTCCCACTGACTACTCAAACCACAGCTTGCAGCATTCCCTTCCGTGACTCGCACCGTCCTAAAAGCAAATCTGTTCGTCAAGAAACGGTAGAATTCTGGCTGGTTCCGACCATTTGCACCACGGCATGCACGACCTTCTCCACCGTCCACGGGCCTTGTAAGGTACTTCGGTGCTTCTTGCAGGCCGCGAATTGCATGTCTTCTGCGAATGAAGCTGATGTGCTACTCAGGCTCCTGAAACTGAGGGGCACCGGCTTGGCAGCCGCTGCAGCCTCAAAGACGCGGACAACAGCCCTGATCAACCCTGCACCTTGATTGACACGCTGGATGTCTGCTTACATGCACCTTCTCCAGGCACACGAAGCCAGTTGCAGCGGCGGTCGCTCCGATGCCCTCTGGCCTCAGAAGTATCACACATAAACTGGTCTGTGTTGCGGCTCCTCTTCCTGGCCTCGTCCAGACCTCGCAGCGCTTGCCGCGGGCCGAGTACTCCACGCCCTTGCAGCCCGCAGTAAAGGAGCACAGAGTTTGACAATCCTGGCAGGCGACAGTCTCCGACGAAAGTTATAACGGCTTGAACATGATCGCCTGAACTAGATTGGGGACATCCCGGTCCGAACAACCACTCTGACTCATTGATACAAACCGATGCTCTTTCACAGGTGGAGCTCCTCCAAAGTGTCGGCACTGACAACTTGATAGTATTTGGCGGAATTGTCCTCCGGACGCACACTACATGCAAAAAGTCGCCAGCGATACACGGGCCGGCACTGCGGAGTCCTTCGAGTTCGCCCCTCTGCACACACGATTCGCGGCTCCACCAAGTGAGCGCCAAGCTGAGGGACAACATGTCAGCAATTCTTGCATGCGGATCTGCGTGGCTCCAATACACCGGGAAAGCCTGGCTCAGTCGGGAGCACGCAGGTGCACAGCATGTCGGAGGTCCCAGAGATTTGTTCGTCGCAGCTCTTTTGCTCCTGCACCTGCAGGGCAGCTGCGCTCTGCGGGATCTCACCGCCCCCCGTCCACCGACGTTGCCCCATACCAGACAGCTTTATCAACAATGGAAGGTTCTATGCGGTGCCTCACATCCCTCGCTGACTTCCTCGGCGGCTGCCACGCAGACATGACCAAAGGAGCTGCAGAAGGTCTGGCAACGGCCGCCGTACGGATCGGTGAGGACCAGGGCCGTGCAGTTGCCTTCAGTCGCCCAACTACATCGGCGGAAAGGACACGAAACCAGAAGCAATAGTATCACGACTCAAGAACTTATCTAAAATGTATAGCCATAGATAGTAGTTGGGGGAAGTGTTTAAAAGGCACGTCAGGCATGTTTGCATGCTCATGGGCCGCAGGCCATGCCGAAGCTCATCCTGCTGCCACACCTCACGCCTTCCGCTCGCTGATGAGGCTTTGTCTGGACGCACGCTTTCTGCAGAGCTTCCCGGCTATGTGAGTTCACTGAGAGAAAGCTCTGACGGCTTTTCTCAAGGCTTTAGAGGTTAAGTGCAGAAGTCCAGGTCATGCACTCATCTTCCCACTGTCCAGCCGTGCCCTACCCAAACAGATTGCTGCTGCCCTCAACGCTGGCATTCCAGCGTCACGGAAACCGCCTAGAAGAATGCCAGGAAGGAACTACATTTTTGCACTTTGGAGGGTGGGGCGCGATGGTGAAATTAGGGTTTTGTGAGGCGCCCGAACACCTTCATGATGAAGATTCACAAGACGGGACCAACGTTAACGAAGTGTCTATATCCCGGAGCTACGCTACACCCGATTTCCCAATGTTGTCAGTAGATGATTGAGTCTCGTATGGGCGTTGCCAATACCGAAACATCCAAATGCTGTCGCAAGGCCGCAGGTGACTTCGTCGATGTCCGGCCACGTCCCGAAGTCTGCGCAGGACAGCTGAGTCAACAAGCGGGTCGTCGTAGTCGTCGTGGAGGTTTGCGAGGTTGGACCTCCGGCTGTCGTAGTCGAAGGCACACCGGTTGTTCCTGCCACGGCGGCAACAGCGGCTATGAGCCCGGGCTTAGTCTGGTCCGGGATCTGCTAAGACACGAGCTGGGTTCCCATATCATATCCCCCGCGGCTCCTCTTGGAGTCAGTATGATGTCCCCAGAGACAGCACAGTGGTCGCTGCCAGCTTTGTCACAGCCTGACACACTGACCGTCAAGTTTTGCTGCACCTAGCGAAGCCCTTTTCGTTGCGGACGATTATTTGGACCGCAGCGCCTCGCCATATCTTTGAGTCGACCACCTGCCCCATGGGCAGCGGCGTCTTCTCAAAATAGACCTGAGCACATGTTACAACAAAGCAGCATCCTTCCCAGGCCACAAGGCAGGCGTGTTCCCTCTCGCCCTTGGCCGATCTGGCTCTCCTACAGAACCTTGCGACCGAGAGCAGGAAGATCGTTGGAGGAGTTCGCAGCTGCTCTTTGAAGCTGGGACACAAAGTCGATCTTCACCCCGAAGCCAGTCGATGCATCCGGATCGTTGTCGTTGATGTTGTAGGAGTCCTTGAATGTGTACCTGAAAACTGCAGCAGGACCTCTGGGGGAGCGTGCAATGATGTGCAATGCAAGACTTCATTCGCAAAACCACATTGGCCATGCTCTTGTTGGCTTGTTGGCCTTTGCATCCCTTCATGCCGGCATGATGCGGCAGGATGCTCCAATCGCGACCACGAGCCCTGCGTGTGCCCTCGCGCATCAGGAACTGAGATCCTGCGAAGAAATTTGCATTCCTGAGTTGCGGCATTTCAGCGAATGGGTCGAAGGAGTTGTACCCTTTCCGATGGTTGGCATCTGAGCGGCATGTCTCCCAGAACTGCCACCGGGTACTGCGGGTATCGAGCCCGCTGTTCTTGGATCACCTGGCTTCCCGAAGGCTCAAAACCGAGTGGGCCTGACTGGACATGCGTCGAAGGTTGAGTTCTGGAACGGCCTCCAAAATGTCATTCTGCACGGTTCGAAGAATGGGCTCGTCGTTGGTACAGCACCAGGGATGGGTTCCAAGGACAACCACCTGGGTAGATGACATCAACAGTCCTGCAGCTCGTCACTCGAGTTGCATCCAGGGGAAAGTCACAGAAGCTCCGGTTGTTGGCTGGCAGGGCACACCGGTTTTATCACGGCGTCGGTGGAGTACTGCCCAGCTGATTCCACGGTCCTCGGGGGAGCTTGTCAAAAGAAGTGGGCTGCTTCGGGCGGTAGGCAGCGAGGCATTGAAGCGATCAGGGTCGGTTGTGAACCGTAGATTTCGACAAAGCGTGTCCTCGAAGGCATGCATGCCACTGTCTTCAAGCATCCACAGATCGCGCCTCGCGTTCCACGCAAGCATGAGTCAGGAGGACCATCGAAATCACACGTCATGCGCAAAAAAGCATGGAGGAAGCACCTCCGCTCAAGAAATGTGAAGAATCCATGTCGCTCTTTAACAGTCTAGGGGCCGAAAAACAATGTCTCCGTCCCACTTGGACTCCTTACTCGCGCATACTCTTCAAGCAATCGCCCAATGTGGAAACAATCCAAGGGATGCAAGATAATGCGCTCGCGGAGGTAGGTGCGGTCGAGTAGCCGTGTCACCTGTTCCATAACAATGGCCCGTGTCACTGTGCAGGTTTTATTCGTATCGACAGAGTGCAGCACCGCCTCCCCGCGCGAACTCCCAAATGTCTCCAGCGGATTTCTGGTTCAGTTCTGCCAGGATTTCATCCCATTCGTTCCACAGCTCCTGCCAACTTGAACCGAGCTCTCTCTTTTTCGGCATCCTGCCGCTGCCACTGCCGGGGGTCCTGCAGGGAGACGATCTCTGGGTCGACCTCGAGGATGGCCTCTGCAACCTCACCTGCACGGCCAAGCAGATCGTTGGCCTCAGCATGCACGCAGTGCACGCAGTGGGCAGTGCCGCGCAGAGTCCGTTTTTGGGTCCATTGGTCCATGGAGCATAGTAGACGTTCCAGGACAAGAATCGCGTGGCCTCGGGCACCAGGGGAGCCATGACGGGCAGCCAGTGCCCCAGGACTGCTGGCCTCTCGGCTGTGCTGACCTGGGGGAGGGGTCGAAGGTGGCGGTGGCGGTGGAGTATCGCATCGCACTTTCATGCCCCTGCCAGGAAGCTTCCCTTGCACAGATGATCGACGCTGTGGAACAATTGCAAGCACATTCGATCTACTGGTAGCTGGTTCAGCAAGCGAGTGATTTACACCAGCCACCTGCGTTCCTCTCTGTCCACATCTTCACACTCCCCCTCCTCACCACCGACACCTCGCGAGGAAAGCTGGCAAGCAGCTGGATAAGAGAGCCGTTTAGGGTCTGTTTCTTTTGGAGGTCGGCAGACTTTCTCCGTACTGACTTTCAATCCAAGTGGCATGCCAAGCTTTCACAGCCGTCAAAGTTGTCACCCACCTTCGTGCCGAGCGGCTTGCGGTGTCAAGACTTGGCTTTACAAACGAGGTCAGTCAACGGCCTACTGTCTGTGGCAAGACGAAGACAGCGAATTCAGGCATTTAGCGCAGCGCGCTATGAAAAGCATGTGCCATGCGCTCGTGTTTCAGCAAACGGCCATCGTGCCTGATAGACCTCGCCATTTGGGCATCGGCAGGAACCTCGGCAGACAGAAGGGAGACCACGGCACATGCTGGGGATGCAGCGCCTCCCCAAGCACCGACTTTGGCTTCGCCGAAATCCTCCGCCTGCCACGCAATGCATCGGTGAAGAGAAAACGCCGCATCAACGAAGGTCTATATGATTTTAGAATCCACGCACAAGAGCATGCAGCCTTGTAGTACCAATTCTGAGCTGCTTGAAGGGCAGGTTGCTTCCCGACCCTGGCGGTCTCTACATTTTGTATGAAACGGAGTGGAGAAGAAAGCAAGCATCGCAGTCGGCACCTGGCTCGGTGCTGCAGCAGCAGCCAGGGACGATCCTGACCTGCTTTGTTGAAATACAAGTGATTCGAGGTGCTACTTGCATCTCAGTACAAGCACCCTAGACCTGGCCTTTGGAAGTGCAACTGTCCTCTGTTGCAACCTGCGGGAATCTGCAGAAGCAGTGTGTCGATGTGCTCTTCCAGCTGACTTCTGTGTGAGGCTATGCAGCTGCGACTACCACGGCTGTAATGAACGAGTCGATGGCTTGCTGCATACCCTTGCCTGGGTCAGTCCGCTGGCCAAGAGAAGTGCAATAGCAGAAAGCATGGCTGGTCTGCAAGCTTGCACTCCGGAGCGACAAACAAGCCAATGCTGCACTGAACCGACGTCGGCAACTGCAATGCCACTTTGTGGAATCAGTTGATTCCGATCCGGCAGGATATAGATCTCTGCTTGAAGATTTGATGCACACGCTTCGTGAAGCACAGGCTCCAACTCGGCGGCAGCTCCAGCATGCACTCTCCCAACACCGCACACTTGCCGCTTCCCTTCCGAAAGCAATTGCCTGACGCTGCTGACAGTCTTTACTTTAAGCCCTGCAGCCCATGCTGCCACTACTGGTTGAGTAAAGTTGATTGCCTGAACACCTGCACAATCCTGCACATGCATGATTGTCACACTGATGCTGTCGGTCACCCATGCTTCAATGTAGAACACACTGGCGACAAGTCAATGGGTTCACGACACTGCACGAGAAGCCCTCAACCTGAAAAGCAAAGGCAAGCTTGGGCTTCTCCCAAGCTTTTTACCACTTCGGCGGCAGAGAGTGTACAGAAGTCATTAACATATATTAGCATTCATTAACATCGCACCCACCAGAGGCCATTTGCCTTGGAGAGTGCATCGGCAGTATGGAGGATATGAGGACGTGCTGTCATACCAAATACTGTATCGTGAATATAATGATAAGAGCGGTGGCATACAATGACTTGTCCTCACACCCAGCGTCTGCATGCATTTACTACGCCTACTACATTGGTCAAAAGTTTTGCTGACCGGTAGAGCCACTGATGTGGCGTCTCATTTCATGTTGTCTCGGTTTCTTACATGGGCACGTCGGAAGTCTTCCTATCTTAAAACTCCCACATCAGGTTGCAACTTGGTAAGCCGTTGCGTTCCGTACACCTGCAGCCACTGCCTTCTAAGTGTTGCTTTTCTCAAGCTAGGTGGTCAGAACGCAAAAACAACCAGAAGAGCTCTTTGCACTTGACTGGAGCTGGAACCTTCTGGAGCTTCTGCAGTGGAGCCCTGGAGCCTTCGGCCTGTGGTCTTTCCGGGCGTTCCCTTTCTAATTTTCGGATACTAAAAAAACCCGCAACTAAGCAACAGGACCCCTGAAGCGTTGTGCTACTAAGCAGCCTGGCTCTGACTGATACTTGTGTCCCTTTGGCCGCAGAACTCAGTGTGGCCACCACGGGCGTACAGGCAACACGGGGCTCGAGAGTAACACGCTGCTGTATGCGCAATGAACCTGGACGGTAAGCACCTGTGATGCGTCGCTGAGTGTTCAGGTTGATTGAAGCTGAGGTTTTCCCTCCTTTGCGGCGAGCCGCCCCCACCCGCGAAACCCCATTCCCAAAATTAGCACTGGAGCCGAGGCAACATTAAACATTATCTGCAAAGACTCTTCTTGGAATTCGCCGCTACACAGGCGGAGCGCTTTGCGCCTGCTCACTCACGTTGCAGGGTGCAGCAAGGCATGCTGAACCTCTGTAGCGTTGCTGCGTGGTGGCTCACAGGATGGGCCAAAGAAATGCCCGACTGTCGGCATGATTTCATCCTTTGCAACATAAGCGACATCTAGAGGACCCCCTGGCCAGAAGCAAACCATCCTCCAGTGCTCCTCTTCGTTTGCAGTTGGAGCAACGAAGAGGACGATGGAAAACCGTGTCAGCACGTGGACCAAACACCCACCCAGAACTCGAAATCACATTTGTACCTGACCTTGGCTTCCACGACGTTCGATGGCCTTGCGCACGCGCGAGCATCATGAATGGCCTCCCGAAGAATGAATTAACGAGTGTCTTTCAAAGCAACATCGACACTTGGTATATTTCATCTCGAAAGAAGCCCCATCCATCCCCATCCAACAGTCGAAGTTTCCAGCCCGGGCCTGGCAAAGCGAGGAGACCCAGGAGGAACGGCTTTCTTTCGTCGCAGCCTAGCAGGAACAACCTTCCACTTCCAAACTGACTTCAAGCTTGAGTTCTTTCGGATGCTGTTAGACACTTGGGACATGCCGATGCTACGCGCAGTGGCACACAACCCAGGAGCGATTACCCGGTTAAGAGCTGCAGCGCCCTCTGAGCGGCGTAGCTCGAAAGTGAACCTGAACTCGCTCGCCAACTGCCTGACAGAGATTCAAAGGGCACTGTGAGCGACTCAACCTGCAAGCTGGCAGGATGGGGCTTCATGTGTTCGGACTGGGCCTTGTACCGCACGACGAACACAAGTCCAAGAGGATCCTGCTCCAGACGTCCAGGCCAGGAGTCCCCCGACGGACGCTCTGCACAGCCTCCTTGTCTTCCCGAACGGCTGCAATCGCCAGCAGCGGGATGGAGAGCTCCTGTCCGCGGGCTGTGTGCTGGTTTCAGCCGCGGTTGTAAACTCCCCGACAAGCCCCGCTCCCCTCAAGCAGGCCTCTGAAACTGGACTGGCAAGCCTTAGCTGGGCTTGAAGGCTGCCTCGTACTGCTGTGGTGCCCCGTCGTTGATATGCCAGGATCGGTCGAAGGCATGTCAAGCTTGCTAGGCTTCGAGCCGCTGCGAGAGACGAAACACCTGGTGAGTGGAAGCGACTTCATTTCTTGACATGTCCATGCTGTACACATCAGCAGATGCCAAGAAGCGTACCTTTCGACCAGTGGCCAGCTGCTCCACTTGGAAAAGGCTTGGGCCTTCGAGATGTTGGGAATTCTACGACGATTCTCCGATCCTTCGGAGCGGATTGTTGAGATGAGGCCATCGCCAGCCCACTGTGGAGGCGACCGCTCGGCCGATCGAGCCGTGACAGCATCTTGGCCTTGGCCCAAGCGCAGGCAGAAGGGCAGACCTTATTAGGTAAAAACCCTCAAGACCGCTAGGGCAAGGGCAGAGCGTCCATTCCAAGACTCCGCGGCAACTCGGAAGGCGTTTTGACACTCTCGGAGGCGCATGGTTTTTTTACCGCAGCTCGGGCCCGGCCTCGCCGTCTCCTCCCTCGAACCTGCAAAAGGAGAAGGGCGCTTCAAAAATTTGCTGATCTTCGAAGTCATTCGGAGACTGCGCGCACTGCGCGCCTCTGCTTTGGGCAAGGCTTGGGGAACGGCTTTCCTCGAAGGTTACGAGCATCGCAGTTGCAGAGCACATTGCCAATGCCGCTGCCTTCAGGACGGAGATCTCCTTCTGTTTTCCAGGCTCAGGAGGAGTCTCTTGCAATGTCCCCTGCCTCAGGCCGAGCTGCGATCCGGCGTACAAACACGTTGGCGAAGAACAGGTTTTCGGGCGCTGTCTGGCAAACGACTCGAAGTCACAAGGCCCGGACTGCTCTTTGCGCGCGGCTGTAGCACAAATCTCCTGTCCAGTGTGTGCGTCTGCGTCTGGCATTAGCACATGAGCGAGCGCTGTGCGTGTGCAGCGCGAAAGCATCATGCCACGACACCGATCCGGTGCGACCTCCTCCCCAATTACGCTGAGACGCTGCGCTGAGCCTCCAAGCTGGTGGTTGCATGTGCTTGCCAATGCCCCCCGTTCGAGAACAAGCGGATCAAAGAAATGCTTTATTCATTTCAGAACATTTGCAGGTCTCAGTTCTCGCATGTTCTTGTCGCCTGGGGCCGCAGAGGCTTGGAGATTGCCGGCCTGTGGGAAAGATAGTCGCATGCAGCTGATATGCACTCTGCACTGCAGAAACACTGCCGTTTTGGCCAACACCTCAACCCAAGGCAAACACTGCAAGCACCTTGCATGCTGCTACGGCCAACTGCCTTCGCTTGGCCCAATCGGTTGACAGAGCGAAAAGCAGCCAAGGAGGAGCGACGGCGCCTGTACAACAGGCCATCGATCACCGTCGCAAGGGCGCTTACCCTTTCACTGCTTCAAGGGCACATTTCGCTCACTTCATGCGTCACACTGCGATCCTGGTGTTGTCTGAATTCTTTCTGAGGGAACTGCTCTCCACGAGGTCGGGCCTTGCCTAGGATCACAACAGAGGAGTAGCGCTTAAAGCATCCGCTGGTGCGAAACGAAGAATCGATTGTTGTACAACCGGTGTACCGCTGTGCTCAACCGTTGAAAAACGGTGGGATATGACGGAATACATGATTGCATTTTGACATGAAGAAGCAATCACCACAACAAGCAACGCCAGTCTGTTTCTGAGAACTCAACACCTCAATCCTAGATCAAAATATGGGTGTGAAGAATCTGGGCTTTCGGTGAATGTAGCTGCAACTTTAGCCTCAATCCGGGTTGCCATACACACTCACGGCAGTCGAAGGTTTTGTTCTAGTAGATTAGATTAGTGGTTGGCACTCAAGCCCTGCGCTGTGTATGGGACATGTCTGTGAGCAGGCCGCATGGAATCTGTCATGCAGCTTCTGGCCATGTAACATTTCGAGATTTCGAGAGGTGGTGCCAAGTTGCTTTGGCCAAGTGCAGTTGAGACTTGCTCCGGATTGCCTGCAGTTGGCAGCAGGCGCGCTCTCCCGTTAGTAGCACGCCCCCCAACAAGGCAGGCAGAAAGGCCTGGATCCGCCGAGGCCTCGCCCTGCTGAAGCGGACCTCGGCGAGGCTGCTTCTTACGTCGAGAAAGAGTGGAGGTGACCGAGGTGGTCAAGGACAACCGGTGTTCCTTCATGGCTCAGGCTGGGTTCGTTATGTACGTGCACGCGCAGCATCCCGCAGTGGCCGCAGTGGAAGGACAAAAAACAATTTTCGAAGGCATCGACGGTATCCTGCCAGCGACGCCCGAGTTCGCCTGCATACACCAATTTGCCAGAACGGTTCGCATGCGGCATCGAACTGCAAAATGTTCACATAAGACCAGGCAGAGGGCTCTCGTCGACTTCCCCGGAGTTCTGAAAGCAAGGAGGTACGCCCTGGCTGAGCTGAAGCGCGTAAGAAAGGCATGGAACCTTCTTGCAAGCTCCAGCCGACCTGGTGACTCCGACTGCGTCGAGGAGGGAGTCAAAGAGGCCTGAACTTTGACACAAAGGAGAGCATGCTCAGCACCGACCACTCGAGAATTGACCCTGGGAAGGCCTGCTTCACCCGGCATCCTTATGACATAACTTAGACATAGCATACAATTCTTTATATTCTCGACCCGAGGTGCTTGGGAGGTTATCATCGAAAGCTGCGCCATGGACTCAAAGGAATGGTAGTCGGGCAAGGTGCCGGGCTCGTCCGGCTGCGCTTAGTCCCTCGAAAAGTACAGGTATAGCCGCAACGCACATCACAGCAAGAAGCAACCAAGTCGGGACACTGCTGGATGCTACAGAACTTACCGTTACGACATGAAGTAGTGCAGAGCTTCCCACATATGCAAAGTTGGATGATGTATTTAAACCACGAGGAATTTAAATGAGGAGCGGCTTGTTTCATGTCATATCACCACGACCCATATCCAGCTGCATGACGCTTTAAAGGCTTGTGAGGCTTCGCTGTGGACTTCAGGATTATACGGCAGATGTTCTGAGTTCTGCTCTGCCCTGAGGAGCTCTGCCTCACCGCGAGGTGTGCTGATGTCAAAGGGCTCGAGAGCCGCCCGGGCACGCGCCACCTGGAGGTTTGCGCAGTGAGGCCTTGGTTTCACCTTCTTGGAAGTCTCCGACCTCATAGTAGCCTCATAGGAGATGTCTCATCAACCTGCACTTGTATCAACCCTGCCCGCCTCGGACCAATCGGAGCAGATCGACTCGCTGTGCACCGACCAATAGGAGCCCCTCTGTACTATGCATCTTTAAGTATAGGCCGATGGCTCATCTCCACGGTAAACCTCGAATCCACTGTAAACCTAGATTGTCAATCTGAGCAACTGCTCCTCGAGACATGGTCGGCCTCTTCCTGGACTTCGCTCACCTGACAATGGCCAAGGCAAGATTTTCCCGCCAGCGTAGATGTTGCCTTCTGGCTAAAAGCGACTTGAGAACGCTCCTGGCTTGCAAAGCTGAGATCACGTGATCAAGGAATCGATCGAACATCCGCGAAACTTTTGCATCTTTTGCACTGCCGCGATGGGGCATAGCGCAGCTGCTTGGGTTTGGCACCTGGCCGACGAGGTAGACCTCCTCCTCTCGCAAACCTCAAAAGAGCTCTCTCACAGACAATTAGGTGTCTCGTTCCGAAGGAAGACACAGCACCAGAGTTCTCTGAGCTCCCGGCGCTCAAGCGTGGCCTCGCGAGCTTTCCTTTCGGCGCTGATCTCCGAGTGCAGCACTTCTGCATGAACACAAGCCTCACAGCGGAGACCAGAGCTTTACGGACCCTGTCCCGCTCGAAGACTCCAAGACAAGCTCGGCAGTTGACAGGCGCAACACACAAGGAGCCCAGACATGAGTGCCGGCACACAGGTTCCGCAAGATTCCACGACTAGAGGGCTGATGCACTGATTTGTCCTATCGTTTGACCATCCTTCGCAACCATACTCACACAGGGTTCTTCTCGAGAGCTAAGCCACAAGTAGCGAGCGTAGGGGCCGTGGGCAAAAATGAACCTTCTTGTTAGATGGTGCCCGAACACTTGCCGCCGACCACTCTCAAAGACAAACATACAGCAAACCCAGTGCTAGTCGGCTTTGCACAATGCCTTCGAGAACACTGCTGTTCAGCCTAATTGCCTGGCCAGGCCTCTGTCAACTCTTCTCGTAAGGCCCAGCGATCGTCGCGACCCCTGGCCTGGAATGTCGCAACAAACGGCACTGTGTATCAAGTGCAGTGAGCGAACTTCCAGAAAACCACGAATTCCAGGAAACAGCCTGAACCGAATGCAACTCGGAAAGGACTCCGCCGCAGGACGAAAGATTTACGTCGGGCATGTCGGGCACCGGCTCCGCCTCCAGGAGCTGGAGCTTCTGCAGCAGCTCGTCATGCCGAAGCCGCTGGGCCTCCGCATCCCGCAGAGCGCCAGAATGAGCGGGAAGAATCCCAAGTTCGGGGGGAGGCTCCGTCCTATTCTGCGTGCAGCCTGCTTCCTTTGAGTGGCCCGTGTTTGGACAGTTGAAGCCACTTGTACCTGGCCTGCGAGCCTGAAAAGCCAAATTGCAGTTGCTTCTGCATGGAAACCCGCTGGCAAGATGATGGGCAATCACCCGAGGTGCCTCTGCTGCATCTTGTTCCGAACGCCGACGAGATCGAATCTCAGCAACAATCGCCTCAGAACGACCGCAACGTACACGACAAGCTGGCCCGGTAGCTTCCTTGCTGCTGTTTTCCAACCCTCAGCAAGCTTGCAATCCTTGCATCACAGATCCTACAGAACAAGCTGACGGCTCTCCGGTGTGTCTAATGTGTCTATGACACTTGTGAGATGTCTACTGCTGTACTCAAGACAAGTGCCTCCAGCAAACTTTATCGAGCAACCAACACCAGTCGAGCTCATCTCAGGAGTGAGGCCTACTAACCCCGATGCACCTGCCAAACGCGACTAAAACTTACGTATACAAGGTGGCGTTCGATGGATACGTAGAGACGCACGGATGCAAACAGAGAGAGAGAGAGAGAGAGAGAGAGAGAGAGAGAGAGAGAGAGCGAGAAGCGAGAGCCGGGGGCGGGGTTCCATGCTGGCCCACCTCAGCATTCTCTTGCTCAGGGGCAGTGAAGCCAGTGTCCTCTGGATGGTCCTTGGCTACGGGGACTGGTGATGGTCGTAGCTGAAACCAGAAGCTTGCTTGCCTTTCCGAAAACTTATGATCTCAACACACCACACAACTCTGCACTCCAGGTGCCTGTCGATCTGTTGAACTTTCTGCGGTGTTCGTTGACATACCACTGTCAAGGACGAGTGATGGGTTGGTTGTGTGCGCAATGCAGACGCCAAAACTACTGCAGCAAGCTGATGTGTCGTCAAGCTTCGGCTGAATCGCCATCCTGCTCCGGTTGCATCTGCACCTGGCACGTTTGCGGCATCTGTTGCGATGCGTTGCGACAAGGCCTTGTGCAAGGCCACTCATGCCCGGGCCTCGCGGAGGCGGAGCTCCGCCTCTTGAGCTCGGTGCTCAGACTTGCGCCGGACGCTGCAGGGCCGGGTCCGGGTGCCTGGTGGAGTGCCCTCTCCAACTCGTCGTGGTCTTGCCGAGCTTGGCGCAGCTGATCATCCTCGCAATTCAGCACGGACGTAAGGCGTGAAGATTCAGTGAACTGTGATGGTCCGGTGTCCTCACTGTCGTCCTCCCGGGACCTACTAGTGGAAGCTAGGAGCTTGGAGCCCAGGAGCGTGGGCAAGGAAAGGGCCTGGGCGAAGGTGGTCCGGTGGGATGTCGAAGTGCTTGAAGCTCGGCCTCTCCGATTTGTGGACGTAAAGGCAGCGGCAAAGGCAAGCTGCTGAAAGTGTAGCGGATCGCGCCTCCACATGTAGCAGCTCCTGTCGAAGGAGCTCGCCTCAGCGGGCTCCGGCTGTGGCAGGCTGAGTTCGCTGAACAGCTAAGCATGGAGCATTGCCGGGAGACCTCTTCCTGGACCGTGGCGGCCTCGGACTCAGCCAGCGACTCTGCAGAGAGCTGCACAGAGCTGCAGGAGAGCAGCCTGGTGCAGTAAGTCTTGATCTTGGCATAGCCCGTTTTGAGCCTGAAAACACTGAGTTCGAAAGGCGTCCATCGAGGGCATGCTTTGCTTCTCGAAGACGCGCAACACCGACAGAGCTGCGAGCGACACCGGGCCTGGCAAAGGACCCAGAGCAGCTGAAGCCGCACCTCTCGGAGAAAAAAAGAGCAAAGAGCATGGAAAAGTGAGAGCTAAGCAAACTCGCTTGTCCTCAAGGGAACCAGAATGTGTTAAGATGCCGTAGCTTGCAGATTCTCTTCAGCTATTGGGGAATGGCCTCGTGTTTCTAGTGAGAAGACATGAGCGGAACAGAAACCGTCTGCTAGCATAGCAGACAGCGGATCAACAGGCACTCGAATTCAGCAGTTGAGCTGCTTGACTCAACTTCTTGCTTGACTGCCACTCATCACATCCAGCCTCGACCTCCGGAGACGTCCTTTGCAGAGGTTGGATAGCCACATGGGCCGCATATTGAACCAACTTGTCACACCCCCCATGTGACCCACATCTGGGAGAGGCAATCAGGGTATATTCAGCATGCGCGCGAAAAAGCTCAGCCTCTGACGGTTCTGGCTCTGTCAAAGAGGTTGCTTGATGGAGGGCTTTGCTCACCTTAGCTGTTCAGTAATCCATCAGCGGACACACCAACCAAAAGAGTGGATGCGCCTGAACTGCGCACTCTCACACCACCACGGTTCCCTTGCGAGCAGTGGGATCCCTGCATCGTCGCCCTCACCTTCTGCGACGTCCTCGCCACTCACCTTGCAACGAATTTCTTACTGAAGCTAAATTGGGACCAAATGGGATCTTCCGGAGCTCTACTCTCTCTGCGAGCTTTGCCTATCGGCCAGAGGTTGGTCGGTTGCATTTCTTGGATCTGCTTTTCGGATATGCGAACCGCAACGTCACCCAGGCCGTCGCCTCTGGAGCCATGCATGGAGGGCCAATCGCTCGGCCAGTCGTTGCTCCACGAGGTTGCTCAAACCTGCTACTGCCCGGTGATAGCCCGGTCGGTAATAACGAATCTGCTTAGCTGCCATGCTGTGGCGAAACTTGCTGATTTGGAGCGCCGATGCTTAACTGCATAGGCGATGCTGCATGGCTCCAGATTATGGGATCTTCCTTGCACCTGCGCTTCTGAAGCCGTCACCCAGGACCAGGAGAGGGGAGAAGGTGAAAGCAGATGTCAAGGCGCAGACGTTCGGCCCATTGCAAGCGAGATGGACGTCGACTTGCATCGTTTGCGGACAAGCTTCTCGCGCCAAGGCTGCGCAGGTGACGAGATTCCCACGCTTGCCGGCGGGGTGAAACTCCAATCTTTGAAGCCCAGCGCCTCCCAAGTCGGCCTACGCTTCGTAAGAAACGAACATGTCGGAAACCCGCGGACTGAGACCAGCAAGCCAGCGGCTCGGCCGTAAGGCTGCAGGAGAAAAGCTCAAGCACGCGATAAAAACCGGAGGTTCACACTATGAAGTTCTGAAGGTTTCTGTGATTTCTTGCCAGGTTTGGTCTTGAAGGACTCATGGAACTGTCAACGTTCGGAATGGCGCCCTGGGGCGTAGCGGAATTAAACTGCTTACCCACGGGATCTTTCACTCAAATGTCCTCACCGGACTCTTCATCTGACGAGTACCTGTTTGCCAAGTGTGGTTGGCGGCTTCGTGATGACTTCGTCATGCGCAAAAGGCCATGACCTAGACTCAGCCATGCATCCCACAAGATTTCCAAGTGTACACTGACACGAAACCGAAGTCGAAGCTGCACGGCTCTGCGCGGCTCTGCAGGGCTGCCACGGCGCACTGAGATTCACCGGGAAGTAGGAGCCGGTACCTCAGGACAGCGGTCAAAAGCAGCAGGGAGATGCAGTTCGGATAACGAGGTCTCGGCTGGAGGATGTCGTGGGGCTTCTCGTTTCCGGAACGAATCTCCTAAAAGGCGGAGGAAGCGACGCGAAGCGCGAGGTCTAAGTCCCCTGGCCTGGTCGAAGCGCTCCTTAACCTCTGGGAAATGCTCCAGAGCTTCTCTAAAAATCTCCTGCGTCAGGACGGAGACGGAGGCCCATTGCTCAAAAAGGCACTGCTAAGTCTGCCTCCCGAAGGGCCGGCAGCGTAATCTTCCGCCTCTCGAACCTTCAGATAGCTGTTTATGTGGACCCCAACTTTTTTCAGGGACCCATGCTCGGAATGGGCTCTCTCGACGAGTCGTGTCAGGCTTGCAGTCATGGTGCTCGAAGTCCGTCGTATCCAAGGGCTCCCTGGTGGGCTCATCCTGTGTTGCAGCGTGACTGCAGATTCCAGCTGGGCACATGCTCTCGATCTCTCCTCGGGGCAATGCAATTTGTCCAGATAAGGATGCGCGATGGCCTGTCACAGCCCATACTCGGTCGACTGGCATGGTTGTCAATGCAAAGGAGTTGGAGGCAAGTCTTTTTGGAGGACTTCTGTAGGGGCATGTCAGCCATTCTCAAGCCGTTTCAGTTCACGTCGCAGGAGGGGATGCGACAGGTGGGACATGGATGGAGCATGCTCAAAGCAACGATGCACGCATACTCCTCCACCTTGAAAAAGCACGTGTGCATGGGACGATGATGTGGTGAAGCAAGCAACAACTCTGCAGTGAAGGAATGAAACAGAAACATGTTTGTCGTTTCTGCAGGTGTCTGTCACCTCGTCTTGCAATTCAGCCACAGGCTGTTGCTCGACGTTGCCAGCCCCTTTTCGTGTGATTGTGCACCTTCGACGTGGTTCTCCTGAGATTAGGCTGCCACTGGTCAGTGGCTACTATGTTTCTCCTCGCCCTACCGCCAGTATCCGCGATCGAAGTTCCAATCCCAGAGACTCCGGGGAGTCCTTACCCTAACGTATCGCAAAATGTTGCCTGCTGCGCCCGCTCGCAGAAAGGCCGCCGGAGTCCCGGAGTGCCAATGCAGAGCATACTCGGAGTGCCCACTCCAAGACATATCTCATATCATAAGCCAAACCCCTTACCAATTCCACTGCAAGCCTTTGCCAACAAGTATAGGTATGCCGCGCTTCATCCAACACAGTTCTCCTGTACAGTATCAGTATGCAGGTATACCAGCAATTGCATCTTTCAGGGCGGGGATGTTCGAAGTCCAGCCGTTCGAGACTCACGGGAATGACAAAAAACACTACAGAAACGAACCCCACGAACACCAAGTCCCAGCACACTGGCGACGAACAAGTGACTCAATGATCAAATCGATAGTCCATGATTCCCAAACTTTGCAGAGCTCAGCCAGCATCACGCGCGGCTGAAACTGGGCAAGTGCTGTGGATTGTTGTCAATCGCAGGGTTGATTTGCACATAGTGACGGCATCAGACAGAGGTGTACCGATACTGTCAACCCTCATCTCAAAAGGGTATCACATGCTTGGACACACCAAGTAGCATGCATACACAGCAAGTGACTGCCAGCGTCGAGACGGGTTCTTCCTTTCCCGGCCCCGGCCTCCTCCACGCTGAGTCTACTCAAAGGGTCCCAGCGCAACATCTTCCTAAGGATGTCCTGCAACGGGCTCGCATGTCTGGCACTGATGCTTAGCAGTGTGTCACGGCGCAACAGCAGAAGCCTTCACATGCAGAACGCGCTGCAGGAACAAGAATGCCCAACGCCAGGGACCCCACTACCGCAGGTTCTGGCATCGACTTGAAAACCTGCCGAAGACGATGCAGGCAGGACGGAGAGCGGCTGGCGGCCGGCTGCCTCTGGAAAGCTCTTGGTCGCATGGACCGGCAGCGACCTGGAAGCGATCTGAAACGCAATGACAAAGGCAGCTCCTCAGACGCCAAGACTGCTGCTTGATAAATTTCCGGCACTTCTCGTTGGGAATCTTCATGAGCTCCTGGTCCAAGAAATCGAGCACAGGGAAGCCATTTAATACAGCGGGCCTGAGAATCAGGGGAGCCGAGAAGGTCGATGATCATGTCCAGCTGGTTTTGAGTACTCTGCCTCGGTGACAGCAGGGGAGAACTGGCATCCTTTCAGATTGGTGTTCTGCATTTCGGAACGGGGCCCCTGCCCTGGAAAAAGCGGCCTGCGTGTCGACATCTCAGCCAATATGCAGCCGATCGACCTTTTGCAACTGTGTCGGTGCCGTGCGGAGTACATCGCATGTCGCCCCATCCGACGGGCTGCTAAATGTCCCAAGTTCCCCACCAAATGTCGATAGCACCTCGCCAGGTCACCACCACCAGCTTCTATAGGGACTATAAAGTTCGTGGCGGACTGCGGACTCGACATGCTGGACATCTTTGGCTTTGAAGCACCATACTGCACTCTTGAATCTGGTTTATTCCTGCGCCGTAGTCCTGGTGCATCCTGGAAAATGAGCAAGACATGGCAAGAATATTCGGATCAAGTAAGTGTCTCGCACGAGTAGTCTGTCCAAGAGCACAGCACCTTGCCAGTCAGTCCCATGGTCTGGCAGTGTCTGGAGCCACTGGAGTCGTCACAGGACTGTCGCAGCCTCTGGAGCACGATACCAACGCGTACAGACGTACCTGGAAGCTTTGACAACGGCCTGACTCAGTCAGAAATGGACTGCGGAAGTGCCTAGGGCGCACTCTGTCATGGGACAGACCCACTCCTTGTCGGAGAAGCGCACTCGGGCCAAGCCAAAGTCGCAGATCTGTGCCAGTCGAAGCAGGTTGCGTTGCACTTCGCTGAGAGCCATTCTGGTGAAGACTTGCAACACGTAGTGTAATGTGGCAATGTAGTGAACAAGATTTGCCACCTGTCGGTCTAAAGAAGAGTACACTCGGAGTCGATGGCAGTCCTTGAGGTCGCAGTTGCTATTCACCAGCAGGTTCCTTGGTTTCAGGTCCCGGTGAATGACCTGCACGGGATGCAAAGGGGATTCATGCTAGTCAGATTTTATGACGGAACAGTTGAGCTAGCACTGGTCTCGCGAACTATACAGTGTAGATAGGACCCAAAGGGTGGAATGAACTCCCGGTGCCCACCTGAGCCGAGTGCACGTACTTCATACCACGCAGGATTTGGTACAAAAAGAACCTTCGAGCTTGGGTTGCAGGACCGAGATGCAGCTGGCCCGTTGCCATCTAGATGCATCTGTGGACTGCTAGTCTGCAAGTTGAGGTCCCTGCTGACAGTGATCGTCTGTCAACATCTGAGAAGACCTGGGAATCCAAGCTGACTTGGGAGACTAGGCTGCAAAGGCCCAAAGGCATGTAAGGCTGTGGATGAGCTCAGCACCTCAAGGTAGAAGCCAAGTCGGTCTCCATGAGTTCCGAAACGACATAGAGCTCCTGACAGATCAAGCTAGGTGACTGCTCGGGCTGAATATGTCAGTCGTCAAAATCCCGAACACGCGCTCTTCTCCTGGAAGGTATATCTGGAGCCCACCATAAAGATGTTCTTGACCTGTGAGAACGACGAGTTGCAAGCATGCTCTGTCTTTGCTTGGATAATAGGCCAAAGGCCAATAGACGAAGCAAAAGCCAAAGGCACCTAACAAAGTCGTAGACAGAATTGAACCAATTGCAGAGATGCAGATAATGACATGGGTCCAGCCAAGACCACGCTCTGGACATGCTTGATTCTGAGCCTGGTGTTTTGCTGCTCTTGGCCCACAATGGCCCACTACTGCCGTAGAGTTCCGCAGCCCCACCTCACCCGAAACGGAACCACTGCCAGACGGCACTTACGATTACGACTTCAAGCTTGACACTGAAAATGTGCATGACCCCTTGTCCTACTCAAAGCATTTTGAGTAAGCTTCAAGCCTACAGGGTTTGGCTTTACGGTTGAGGAGTTTGAATGTGTCAGGTCTGCACCCAAGCTTCTGAAGCACAACGGCGCCTGCGCGTAAGCTCCCGTAAGGTACACCGCCCCTGAATGACTCAATGCTCAACCGAAGGTTTGCGAAGATTGCGGAACACAGGCCCCTAGGCATTTAATCGTTCGCTTGCTCCCTCCCTGGTTCCTCGAAGCCCTTACACAAGTAGAGCCCTCCCTCAATTTGTAGAAGTCTTGTCCCTAAAGCATTTAAAACGATCAGTTTAGCCTAGCACTCTTCGAACCGAGTGTTCGTAGAGGCTTTGCAAGGAGAACGCTGTATAATGAACATGGCTCCTGCAAATGGCATGAAATGCAACTTCCCAAGTGAGCACCGCGACTGGAGCAAGTTTCCAGCCGCTGTACATGCCGCTTTCTACCCAGAAGTACCAACTTTCCAACAGTGCCAGCAGACTCGGCAAGCACAACCAATTTCCGAGAGCCCCAAGGCAGCGCGTGGCCTGCATCAGGTTCTCGTGTTGTAGATGTCGCAGGATCCGGAGCTCCCGGAGCGTGCGCTGGGCCGCGAGTCGACATGAAGCAACAGAAAACATGAAAGCTCTGACAGAGACTGGACTGGACTTAGCAGGTACTCGAAAAGGGCCAGTGAGCTACGAAATGCATCCGACAGTTGCTAAGCCTTGGCGATCGTAATGTGTTCGAAAACACCCTCGATCTTCTTGAGCGCAACTTTCTCCTCGATCTCCTGCAAAGCACCGCCCACCAATCACCCCGCAGGCAAGACAAGCAGCCGCCAATTGCAGAGTCTTGGCACAAGAAGAGAACATGAGCAAAACTGAATCGGCAGAATGCAAGACTTGGCAAACAGGGGGCCCACAAAGCGCAAAGACGCTTCGTGTGTCTGACACTGTCCGAGTGCATACCTCGACATGCTCGGATCGGAAAACCTGGCAAGCCTGCTGATCACGGCGCTGAGCTGGAAAAGAGTCATTTTCCATTTGCTGACGCTCCTCCTCTCGAGTGCCAGTTGCACCACTACTGTTTGACACGTCTGTATGTCTTGGCAGCCGTGCGTCAGTAAGAACCAAGTACAGATGCTCTGCGACGCACCCTGTAAATGTGACTTTTGCCCAGAGCGACGACTTTGCTGCCGGCTGGTTGATATGCATCACTCCTGCGTGCGTCTCACTTCCACACCTGCCAAATGCAACACTCACATCACCTGTACAAATAAACCGAAAGTGGCGCTGAGAAATGCCGGTCGAAGGCAACTATCTGTAACTGTCTTCGTGCTGGGACCGGGCGCGCGGCGCTTCTGATCTCGGCGGAGCCATCGGCATTGATGACACACTGGGAGTGCATTTTCACCTCTGGCAGAAAAGCACATGCGACTTGAAGCTTTGCGGTGGCTCTGCCGGCTCGTCACCCCTTTCCATCCAGGCTGCATCCACTCCTCGGGCTGAGAATGTCAAGAGATGCCTGGCTCTCGGCATCTCTCGGTCTCCGGCCCAGCTCTTCCAGTCATCCCAGTCGATCTTCATAGCATCCTCGCATGGAGAGTTTAGCAATTTAGGCACCTCGTGACCTCGTGAGATCTCGTTCTGCTGGCGTCTCCTGAAGGTTTGGTAGCTGCCGCGGCTGCATGCGGGGTGGCAGGTCCTTGAAAGAGTCTTGTTTCATCGGGTTGCACTTCTGATTCATCAGATATCTAGTCGACAGTTGAAGCCTTGTGCTGCTGTGGAAAGTATCGGACAATCTGCAGGACCATCTATGGCAACTCTTCACGACGCGAGAAAACATAGTTGCGCTTCTTGGCCAACACTGCAGCAATAACCAGACTCGATGGCCTTGGTAGGCACATTGTAGAACTCCTGGTGCAACTTGTCCTGCCACAAGTGTGCGTGAATGCTCAGGATGCACAAGATCACGTCACACGTCCCCCTCAGATCAATCAATCAATCGAAGCCTCAATGATGGAACGGACCACAGCAAAGTCATCCGACATCTTTGACCTTCCGCAAGGAACGAGCTTGAAACACATTCTCAGCATCTGACTGTGACAGCGGACAATCTCTCTCCCCTTCTTCTCCAGGCATGAGGGGCGAGTTAGGTCCAGCGGCCACTACGACCCCCCTTAAACTTCAGAACCTTTGTGGGGATGTGAAAATAGATCGAACACAACCAATTGAAGAAACTTGGCGTTAGTTGCACTGGACGAAACAATGCTTTGCGGGCAAATGCTCTAAGTTGTAAACCCCCGGCAACTACTTATATAATAAGCTTCAACGAACCACACATTCCACTCCACTCTCACTCTCGGATGGGCCTGTGCAAAGACCCTGCAGGTCCAGGGGTGCGGACGGAGTAGCTGTTGGACCAACAGGGCATGAAACGAAAATACGTGAATCGAACCGGCCAAGCCAGCTGCAGCATTTGCAGGTGCAAGTATGAAATGCATAATTCTGAGCTCCTTGTCCTCAGCCGATACGACGATGCCGTAAGCTCCGTGACCTCAACCAGTTACCCAGATGCTGAGACGGGACTTGATCCGGCAGTCCCTCTCGTGAGCTCGCGACTCATGGGCTCATCTATGTGATACCGCTTTGGCACCTGGGGTGACCCCGCTGCAGCTGCTACACGCTTCTGTGCCGTCACCTGCCTCGAAGGTGGAGCCCTGCACCGTGAAGGAGCATGTCTCCAGCTCCAAACTATCCACCGGCATGTGAGCCTGTCCTGAGCTGAGTTTCGGAGAGGGAGCATTCATGTCCGACGATGTCCCCTCCCTTTTCTCACTTCTGCAGGCAAGGAACAGAAGCTACCAGACTGGGCCAAATTTCTCTGCTGTGAGCCGGGACAGACGGGGCGGGCTGGGCCTCAACGAGGAGTCTTTGGTTTGCTGCCACGGTACAGCAGGTGATTTGACCCGTAGCACTGGAACATGCAGACGCTGCATAAGCATGCGTAAGCATGCTTGCAAAGAATAGGGACGGCAAGGAACACATCCAGTTTTCGCACTCGGCTGCAGCATGGTCTGCCATTCCCAGCATCCGCAGAGTTACATCTCGTATTGCTTTGCATGATTGTGGATGCTCAGAACCTGCGTGGAGAAGGAGCATGCAGAAATTTTCCATTGGAGCTGAGTTTTGTGTACCCCAGACACAACTGAAGAGAGAGAGAGGCAGAGAGGCAGAGAGAGAAGGCAGCATTCGACGGCCTGGATGTCTGTGTTCTCCGCGGTGGAGGCGGGCGCGACGATCAGAGGCCCAGGCCAGGAAACACGACATGCCTCAAGATGGCCCATCTGTCATCTATGCATGAGTCACACCCCCATGTAAATCACTTCTCCATGCTGCCGTCCTCTTCCTCGTTCTTCGGACACCGCGGGGCATAGGCCTTACCAGCACAGCAGGAATAAACAGCGCAGTCGGAGTTTGTTTGGTGACCTGAATTTGATCTGGCCACAAAGTGGGAACTTTAATGTGATGGTGTTAAATTTGAACCACTAAGTACCCTTCCCTTGGTTGAGGGCTTACAGGGTTCAGGGATGTTTAGGGCCGAGAGCCACGTCAAGAGTGATGCTCTTGGGGTTTAGAAATGATTGCGAGTTAGCGGATCTTTCGGCTGAGCCCTCGACCCGTAGTGGGGTAAAGTCTGCCGGCCGGCGGCTCAAGGCTCGAACCTACAAGACGCACACAAAATGGGAGCCGTGTCTCGTCAGACAGAGAACTGCAAAGAAAGGCTGCGCCCTTCTATATTACGACTCGCAATCAAGGCGACCCGATTGAAATTCGGCCGCAAGTGCTGTAGCGGGAATTGAAGAAGATAGCTGGCAGCGTCAAGTCGGACCGTGACGATCCGTGGATGGCTTATTGCCTACATCGGACTCAATGGACTCATGTCAAGCGTCAAGAGCGGAGTGACAGAGTGACACCCCTCAAAGAGAGCGAAAGAGAGAAAGAGAGGCGAGCGAGAGAGAGAGAGAGAGAGAGATAAAGGGAAAATCTCAGATCGCACAAGGCCATGGCCTGAACATTAACCAAACAACAAAGGCCCTCCAGAATCCATGCCATGCACTCTGTCTTCCCTGAAACTCTGTGCAAGTGCTGAGACAGCAGAAGGCGTGGCGTCGAAGCACAAGCCTCAATATGCCTCAATCGGGCGTAGATGTTCGTTTGCTATCCTGCTTGCTTACGGGCACGGCTTGCGCGAATACACGTTGGAAGGGAGAACACGTAGAAAGAAGGAAACTCCAACAAACTCCACGTCCAACAGAAGGCCGGGTTTGGAGCTCCACTTCGGCCTCCACGGAGCCAACCTCTTTGGCGAAGTGCTGATACCTGGGACAAAATACCCAGGTTGGAGTCGCGCTAATGCGCAAAGTTCTGAACCTCGTCTTGAGTGCTGTGAGGAACTTCCAGAAGCAGGGTCCCCGGACAGCCGTGAAAGCTCAGTGTCCACCTGCACCGATTTGGCAGCTGGGCTGCAAGCAGAAGTAGCCAGAGTGCAAGCAGCGCCGAAGGCCCGCAACGCGTACGCACGGCCTGCAGGCTCACGGGGAAGAGGTGCCGACAAAGTGCTCTAGCCTCAGCGCACATGCATCCCAAAGAACGATATGCCAGCCAAACTTCAACACGACTGTTGGCTGCTGCTACCATTTCGCCCACCCTCCGTCCTGAAGGCTCTCGGCGGCCGCTCGCAGGCAGAAGTTAGCTCACTTAAGTCAGCGGCACCAGCCGGCCGCAGCGCCAGGCCGTAGCCTTGCGCTTGCCACAGGCCAAAGGCAACGTAGGCGAGCGGCAAGAACGAGTCTGCACCATATATCGACAAAGTCACATCCGAAGAGTTCAGCTGGTCGGCCGACTGGGCACTCTGCCTGGACAAGTCGTGCAGGTAGTATAAGTGTTAATCTTTCGACGCGCGTGGTGCGGCTGACATCAGAGAACGATCGGTGAGAAACACCCCGTGTCGCTAGAGCACGTGCTTCGACGGTGATGTGTGCATTTGCCATTTTCAGCTCCGAGTGCTCAGCACATCTGCATTAAAGAGATACTGGCGCACATCGTGGGTGCCTCTGCACCGAGCTCAGTGCAAGCCACAAGTCAAATGACGAGTTGCCAGAAGGACCGTGCGACTAGATAAACTTGGACAGAAGATTGCGGGGCGCGCACAGCCACGGCTTCGACTTCGGCATTGGTCGAAGACCCAAGTGGCAGCTGTGGCTTACTTAAATTACCAAAGGAAGTCAGGGAGTGCACGGCATGAAAGTGCCTGCTTATCACTTGAGTAGGCAGACTCACTTCCTTCGGATATAGACATTTACAAGCATCGGCTCGTGATGCACAGTTCTCAGCGACCACAGTGTGTGTGCAACGAAGCTCCCTCCCAGAAACTTCCACTGGGCTGATGGTGCATAAACTTGCACTATACTGCGATGTGCGGGACTGCTTCGTTCAGCTGAGAAGTTGGTGGCGGCTGCTGTCACCGTGTGCAGTAGCTCTCTGATCTGGGCAAGTTCTTCACCGAGCGAATGGTCAAATTCAGTCACTTCCCCTCTTCTGCACCCCAAAAGATGAGAGAAGGGACAGAGGGACCTGCTTGTGTAGAGAGAGACCGGAAACCAGAGCGGTGTGCTTCAGTATAAGGAAGTCTGGGATGGCCCTGGTGCACCAGCTGGGGTGACCAGTTCGTTCAATGTTGGTTCACTGTCGCCTTCATACGAGTCAAAGGAGTCAAAGACATCCCGTGAGGTGGCAGGGGTGGGTGTATATCCACATGAACACACGGAGCCAGCAGCCTGTGCAGATCTGTGCAGGGTCCAGGAATTTCCTGATCAAAGCCGCAATAGCAACAAAATGAGCCATCGCTTCTGCGACGGCCAAGCTCCAAGAGCCGGAGTCCGGCCTCAGAAGGAATTTACATGCGGCGCCAAAAGCACACGCTGGCCGCGTGTGTTGCACGCGCGCCAAAAAAAAAGGCGGAAGCTACTTGTGCTTTTTGGCTTTCTTGCCTTTCTTGTCATTTGTGGGAGTGGACAGCTCCTGCTCGCCTTCGTTGGGATTCTCCTCACAGCAACTGGGCATCAGGGCATTGACCTTTGTGCCGCTGCACCCAGATATCATGCTGAACCTCGTCTCAGTGTGAGACAGTGCCTCCTCCACCTTCTTCAGCTTTCCCAGCAGCTTCTTGAGCTCCCCGAGGGTGACTTTTCCATCTTTGTCTTCATCCAGGAGCCTGCACATGCCGTGGCGGACCGCCTGTACTCAGAGAGCACGGCATAACAAATGCAACGACTGTGGCTCATTGAGTGCCGGGGAACTGAAACATGATGTCTGCATCGCCCTCGTAGCCCAAATTCTCCACGCTCGCGACCTCACACCGGATGCTTTTGGGAAGTGGAGGACATGCTAGGTTCTCCATTTGTATCCCTTAAACGGTACCGTGTTGGGGCTCAAACTCTTGGCTCTCAGTTGTTCGTAGTACGAGTACAGGGGGTCCCCTCGGCCATTTTGGGTTGCCGCTAGTGGCATGGCTATCGCTGAAATAGCGCTGTCATCACTTCGGCAAGGACGTCGCTTATCGCTGCGCTGGAAACTAAACAGGGCCAGAAACACAGTACCTGGCTCCAATACTCTCCATGGTATTTTCTGTGTTCCTGCCTCCCTGTCTCTGAGTCTGTCCCAGTACGTCCCGCTGTCTCCGTTCATGGCTATGAGTGCGTCCGCACCAGACTACCCAACACTGCAATGTGTTGAGGTTCTGGACGGAGACTTGTCGGCTCCGGCAAGCGGTCACTCTGCACCAGACACTCGGAGAAAGCTCAACTTGAGCCAATCCGCGAACTCTTTGGAGTCAATCTCTTTGTCGTGAGAGGTGTCCAATTTCTTGAAGGCTTCCTGCAGGTCTGGGATGCCTGTCGTATTCTTGACTAGTTTTTCTTCATTGTTCCTTCGCTTCGTCCTGTCTTAGCTTTGTGCCTGTCTGCCTCGCGATTTCCAATTGCCACTTTGTGCCGGGACTGCAAAAGGGAAGTTGGAGTCATCGCAAGCACGTAGGACAAGAAATGTGCATCTAGAATAGTGACACTGTGTGGACTGACGAGTTCTCAAACTGAGCCAGATCAATGTGGCCAGAAGAAGAAGAAGAAGCATTAACATACAACGACACTTTAGTGCGAACGGGAGCGCGATGCCAACGGCGGTTGCGGCCAGGTATCAGATAATCATTAGAACAGCTACCAGATGCTTCATGCTGCAACAAAGCTAGCGAGAAAACTGATACCTGAATTCCTACGGAGCCTTAGTTGGTCTTGTTGCTCCGATCTGCGGGACAGTACAGCTGTCAATGGGTGGGGTGAAGGTCTATGTTGACATCCGTCCTCGATTTTGCCGAACTTCTTGCACAAGAAGTTCTTGAAGGCTCGCACAGGACCTGCACGCAAACACCACAGCCATCTGAACAGATGCATTTCCTCTTCAGCCACCCGCCGGAGTCTAGAAACCCCATGGCGACCGCGACACTGTGATATAGCAGCCACACATGCCCCACATATCTTTGTTTGCCTCGTTCTTGGGTGGAGGCAGGTATTTTTCCAACCCGCTGAAGAATGCGCCAGGACAAGCAGACATCCGGCCGCCTTTCTTGATGAAGTCAAGCTCCGTCATCCTTGGAACGTCCAAGTTTCTTAGAGGGCTTTCTTAGGCCTATTTCAACTGGTGCAGGGGGCTTGGAGCTCATGCGAGTGGCTGTCCGAACTCAGCTTTGGTGATCAGTCCTTCGTTGTCGACATCCTTGGCAGGTTGACTGCGAAGCTTCAGAAGGTCGATGAGACCGTCGCCATCAGAAGTGCAAGAGACTATGCTGATATGCTGCAAGAACCCCCCCGAGCACTACAACAAAGATAAATATGCAGCTGTGATGGTAGAGTGCGAGGGGGAATTCCGTTGGCAAGGATGCAGCTCGGACCCCTGCCACGAGGTCAAACAGGGCATTTGCATCCCCGGGGTAGTTGTTCTTCGTGAGATACTTCACCATCCTGGGATAAGGGGGCTAACAGTCTGCGACGAGCTTGCGACGAGCTTGGACGCGCGACCTGTGTAAGAGGCTTGCTAGCTGAGGCTGCCTGTGATCGAAGAGTCTAAGCTGTGACCAAGCGGCTCTTCTCTTGTGACCTCTCGCAGACTGCGACAAGCGGTCTTCGATTTTGGCTTAGGGACGAGGTCCCCCGAACTGAACTTGAGAAGCTGCTTCGGTTTGTGTGCTCCCACCTGGCCATCGTTGCCGCCTCCAAGCTCCTCGAAGGCACCTCACAGCCGCCGGGACTGTGCACTTTACGGGCTTCTGTACTCCTCGCTTTGCCGAATGTCCCCTCAAGCTACCGACAGAGCATGGTTGAGGCTTTCAAAACGAAACTCCCGAACTAATGTACCCCGGAGTGGTGCCGGCCGCCTTGAATGCCACCAGTCTTGCCGTGCTTTCTCGCTTGGACCAACATCGTGTCTTTGTAAAACCTTGTCAAGCTCCAAGAAATTGAAATCACACGTTGGCTCCCACTTGCAAGGCTCCATGACAGGCTGACGACATCACCGAACAGACCTGACAAAAATGAAAGCCAAGAATCTGCTTGAAGGTATTGAGCTCCTGGACGGCGGGATGCAAACATCTGCAGCACATGGTTGGTCTCCGGCGTTCACGGTCACAATCAATCTAGATGCAAGGGGGGACGGTCTTTCAGACGACCAAAACATGCACCAGGCTGTGAAGTGGGCTCCGATCCTTCCGGAAAGGCAGTTCATCTAACGGTCCTGCACGGGGTCTCCGACCTTGATCTTGCATCTCTCGCATGAGGTGCAAGCAGCACCCATCGCTGCAAGAGATCCAGGAATCCAGTGAAGCTTTCAAACGGTGGGCATGCCCACTGAAGCTTGCAAGAGGCTTGGATGGCATCTTTGGCTCAGAGGCCAAAAACATGCAAAGCTGGTCGGAAATTTATGATGGACTCTGCTCGTGGCATGTATCTGGGAGGCTGAATGGCTGCAACTCGCGGTATAGCGCTATCTTCCAGGCACTTCGTTTAGGTGAAGGGCTGAGCGCTTCTGGCACAGATGGGTCTGAGCATGTGCACCTCCGGAGCCCCTCCGCAGCTCCTGTGCATCAACAAATGCGCAAAGTATTTCTTCCACGGAACGACTACAGTAGGACACATCGTGACAGGGACAATTGGAGCTGGCAGTGCCCCACTTGCTTGGTTGGATGTAAGTTGAAACCGCCCAGTGCCTCAAGACTCTATGCTCTATGCCGTCTATGCTTACTATGACATATTCCCTTATCCTCAATCTCTAAAAGGTCGTCTTGATTTCAAGGGAATGCTGCCACGATATGATCGATGAAGCCGGTCCTGATGGTGGTGCAGGCCTTGGCCACATGCCATGGGTAACGACTCTTGCATCTTGGTCTTAGCATGCTGAGGCTGCAGCAGCATGGAAGCCAACGTGAAGCACCTTCGCGACGCTAGTCGCCAATCACAGAATGAAAGCTGCATCATGCGTGCACGTGAACAGGACTACCACATCGCTAGCAGGAAGGAGCCTCCCACTGTGGGTCTTGAAGCCTGGTTGCATGCAATAGCCGTCTCCACTCCTCGGTGAAGCTCGGTGCGAACCTTGGTCTCATGGGAGTCACGATGCTGTCATCTGTGATATCCTGTGCTGCTCACAGATTATCCCGTTTTCAAACGAGCAGCATCGCGTCGTCCTCGCAGAGAAGATACACGTGGTCGTCCTCCTCCCGCACTCATCGCACAATTGCCACTAATTAAGGCTGAATGACACTCTAGCATCCCAAGGCATCGTGTGGCTTCGAAATCTCCGGAAAACATGATGCTCGCAGGCTCTTCTCTGGGGTGTTCTTTGCTCTCCGCTCCTTGTCCAGTGCAATCCGTTCAAAGGCTTCGTGCCTCAGGGTGACACACCCATGAAGTTTGCTGCCAAAGCCGCGGCCGCAACACATGCTGAGCAGCATGATGTCAGAGTACTAGTGCTGTGCTACCAACAGAATGAAACGGCACCACATAACAATGTGGTCATGACTCCGCCTCACGGCATCCTTCTCGAGTACATGTTTCCCCGAAAGGCGTGTCCGAGCCCCTCGCATTGACAGAGCCAGGCCAATTGCACCACGGGTCAGTATGTAGCCCAGCACTTTGGGGTGGGGCGTTCCGGCATCCTGCACGTAGGAGCAGGACTGGCTCACACGGATCTGTGTCGTTCTGCGTTGACGCCCTCACTGGCCATGTGGCCTGGATGCCCTGAGGAGTGACGGTGCGCCTTGGCACCTGGCGCTGACGCCATCGCAGTTCTCAAGAAACCCCGAAGTTTGTGGAAGAGGTGGGCAGAGGCCAAGGCCGGCTTCTCAGAGAAGCCATGGGCAGACTTTCAGCAAACGCAAAGGGGAGGCCTTATCCAGTTGAAGGGTTGATCCATCAACAGCCCGGATCCACTCCACCTCGCGCGGCCCAGAGTTGGCGAAGTAAGAGCACGTGCCCGTATCTCCCCGGGGCACCCGGCTCAGCAACTCTGGAAATCGATGTAGCTGTTGCAGAAAGGCCTGCCTGCTCCGAAATGCTGAAAATCAGCCAACACCAGGAAAACCATACAAGCACCGCTTCTCTCGGCTGAAATGTGAATCCAGTCCCTGGTTTGCTGGTGGTACTGCCCAAACGAGGCCTTCGTTTCGTTTGGCGTGCCAGACTGATGAAGAGCACTCGGTGCACAGCTAGTGTAGCTGACGTTGGCTTCCTTGGTGACAAACAGAGCAATCGCGACTTTACCCTGGCAGACGCGAAAGCCTCTCGATTGCTTGCGAGGCCTTGGAAGATCTTGTCCTAATTATTGCCCGCCTGTATGTTGCCAAACCAACAGCCCCACAGCTCAAAACGAATGCATGTAAATGTGCCTGTCTGTACATGCACGAGCAACATGGACTATGAGCAGTTTGTACATACGCTTGGGCTCTTGTACGCCATATGCCCTGTGCACGAACGGCATGAAGAGTCTTGTAAGTCTCGAGATCAGAGGAGTCAGTATGGCCCACACTCGCTTTGCACGACTTCCTGTCTGTGCTGAAGTCTTCGACCTGGGCGCCATTATCCCTTCACTGAACGGTTTGGAGGAAGGCTGCACCTAGGACGTTGTGAGGCCAGACAGACAGGGAAGGTAAGCCCAACACGAAGTGCGCGAGCACGGAGCAAGCCATCTGAAAGCGCCTGAGCAATTTCGTGAGCACCCGGCCGCCCTGGTGGGTTAGACGGTCCGTGCAATGGAACTGCAGGAGCCATTTCTTACAGAATCTCTCGACGTGTCGACATGGCACCTGTCAGTGCATCTTGCATTCACTTTGCTGTACAATCGGTGCTGTCACTGCACGTCGACACTCTAATCTTCCCGGGCAAGCTGACCTGAAGCACTGATCATCGTAGGCCCCTCATGCGTGGCGCTTTTGGCGCGAGCTTTCTTCTGCTTTGTTTCGGCCTCGCAAGCAGCTTTGGGGATTTTCGGGCCAGCAGCGGACTCCGCATTGGTTTCCTCGTCGCCGCCTCGCAGGCTGAAGGCATGGAACTCAGCAGGGCTCATGGACTTGAGGGTCTCTGGCTGAGCATGTGCATGTTTCCAAGTCTTAATCGACAACGGCTCCCCAGGTTGATTGCCATCATATTCCACAACGTAGACGAACTCCATTTCAAGCTTGCAGTCCGTTGGAAAGAGGTAAAGGTGACCGGCTCCTGTCTTGAATTCTGCAATGAATTGTGCGACGAGGCAGCCAAAGCCGTTGCAAATGGTCTTTCCGTTCGACGGCTTGCCACTCAATCCATTGACCAGTTCGCAGGTCTGTAGAAACTCGGCAAGTCGAACTCCCAGGGACGTATAGTATCCGTCACACTGGAAGTAGATACAGGCAAAGACGCTTTTCTGCCCGTCTCGAACACTGCGGAAAACCACCAGGCCGCCAGTGCCCATCTCTATGGATGTGACGTTCTACGGTGGCCTTGATCCCGGCGCTGCACCAAGAAGCAAGCGATCAAGCACGCTAGCTCTACGTCGAAAAAAGTTCCATGCAAGCCCCAGGCCTCAGATGAGCCGGACATGGGGCATGACTGCAACAGGTACGTTCACCAGCACGGTGGAAAAGTTCCTGCAAAGCAGCTCAGGCACGCAGCGGCACTCAGGACAAAAGGTTCTGAAGGCGCAGAGTTGCAGCACACCGTTGCGCTGCCCACCTCATGCCACTCGCACAAAGTGCTTTGGGAACCGGGAACCGGCATAAGCTTCACTGTGACCCAAGTCCTGATTGGTTTTACGATGTCTCGCGGAGCATATTGATGCAACATATTAAGCCACAGCACTCAACAGCTACTGCTAAGTAATTCAAACCTCCAACCATGCAGCAGTGCCTATGTCACTGTCCATGTGGCAAAACCCCTCGACTCACATGAGCTTCTATGCCACGCATGGCTGCAAAGTGGCTTGAGTGCTGAAGCTAGAGCTCAAAGGAAACACCATGCGTCAGCACCGCTTGATGGAAACATCCACAGCAGGACACAAGCGGCAAAGTATGGGCGGCCAAGGGGTGCTGGTCTTCAAACCAGCCCCTGCCACTCCTTGCATCACCAATCTCTCTAACAGTCATAGAAGTTGCAGCTATCCCTTGCTACTCTTTTCTTTGCATTGGCATTTGCATTGTGTTCCCATCGCAACACATTCATGTACTGTCTCTGAGCTGGCCAGTCGCATGCGCTGCTGTAACATAGCGCTGGGAACAAGGCACAGCTGGAGAGACAACGTTGGGGCCTGTGGCCTACGTCATTTCGGCTTTGATGTCAATCTGCCCAAATTCCTACGATGCAGCCCTGAATTCAGATTCTGTCGTTTGCCACAGGCGGTTAAACAACAGACTCATGTCCACTCCTCTTGGCTCCCTCCACAAGTGTACGAGCTGATCCGTAGAAAGCATGTTGCTGGAAGGCCAGATTAGATCGCCAGAGAGGACATGACCAAAAAACTATTGGGCATCAACGCCTAGACTTGGCATCCAAACCAATGCGCCCGATGATGCACCCGGAGCATGACAGACCATAATGTCCGTATTTCTTACGGTGCCCAAAACATTGCCGGGTCACCTCACTTCCTAGTCTGTCTTTGAGCTGTCTGTCGTGTTGCGCCGACGTAGAGGCTGCATCTCCTGGCACAAAAAAGTTTAGAGACAAGAAGTCACTACCAGCCATGACCGGCCATGAGTACAGACGGCTGCATGGCCGAATCGGCAATGTGTGCCCTGTTCAGCAGCTCACAGCTGCTTCACACCTCCTCGTGGCATTTTTCGAGAGGCTCTACAGTGGCCTCAATTTACGGCTGTCGGGAGCCAAAAACAGCAAGCTGACACACTTCCGCAGGCAAGTGACACGGCAGCATCGCTCGGGCCGCCATGCGCAGCGGGCCACGCTCCGAGTCACCTCGAATGCCTCAGGCTCAGGCGTTCTTGCCGGCAGCTCTGCCCCACAGCCTCACAGACGCTGAGCTGGGGGCCTCAACCCCCTTCTCCTTGGCGCGGCCTGCAGCACTTGCAAGACAAAATCAGGTAGGTCGGGAATCCTCGCATGTGGTCATGCTACTCTCAAAGGATCTCAGAATTTCAGAATGAACTTCACAATGCCCTCCATGTCTCGAGGCCCGGGCCGAAAAAGGAGCCGAGGATCTGCAAGGGCCCAGGAGCATCCTCCTCCCTTGGCTAAGCACCAAGTGGCCACCAGAGACGCTTCAAACTCAAACCTCTGGTCTTAAAGTCATTCATTCTATATGTTCTGATTAATACTTGACGTTGCGCAGGGACGCGCTGAAGTTCGTGAGCCGATCGTGACTGTAGATGAACTCCCCGCATCGTCCAGCGTGAAGATTGAGCGAGCCAGACAGAGAGCGAGGGAGAGAGGTTGGTGTGCGGGTGAGTGGGTGGGGGGACGGAGAGAGCGAGCTCGGCTTGAAGTGCATTGTGGCACCATCATTCATCACAGGACGAACTGCTTCTGAGATCCCTGCAGAGGTGAGTGAACGCTTCCTCCTGCTCGGCTCGCCTGTCTGTCAATTAAGCAACGCCTAAAAAAAATCTTACCTTCAGATTTCGCCCTGGCTTGCGGGCCCTGTGCCTTCGTCTCTCTACGTTGCCGCCGTCGCGCTGCAGCGCGCAGCGCCGCGGCAAGGCGAAGCGTGCGCTCCACCGGCACGACGCGGGGCAAATTCTGCAAGGCCTGCGGGTGCCAGTGAAAACGACAAGACGGTCTCTGCAGAGCGGCTTCATGGACCTCCGCCAGCTGCGCGGCATCATCAGAGATGCGCAAAAGCTGGAAGCGCTTCAGCAGTATCAGTGCGCAGAGCAGCCAATCACCTCCGCTCGCCACTACAGTAGCAACTTTGCCCAAACCGCGTCAGCTGATGAGGCATATGAGGCGCGATTCATGAGCCAAGTCACCAAATTCGAAGCGCTCTGCATCGTTGAGCATGGCATCCTGTTCATGCTGGAGATCTGCGAGCAAATTCCGATGCTTCCAGACTTCCAGGGGTCCATGAATTGCAAGCCGATGTTTCACACTTCCGGTCACGTCCGCAAGCACATGCAGCCCCCTCACACAAGAACGCACGCCGCCTGTTATTGCATATACGTTTACATACGCACCAAAATGCTTGCAGCCCTGTTCTGCGAATTATCAGGAGGCGTTTCATGCGACAAGGCTAGGGCTGAGGATTGGGCAATGCGGGGCTACTAAGGGGTCAAGAGTCAACACTGTCAAGGTCTGGCTCTCTTCTGAAACAGGCTGAAAGTTGGAAAGAGATGGAATGCTTCCATAACCCCGTGGCTGGCACTGCTTTGGCTACACGCCTTGTCTGCCGCTGCCTCACTGAAGGTCAGGGTTGTTCCGTGCTTGCTACCAGCTATGAAAGACTAAGTGTCCCTTGAGGGCATCCCCATCTTTAGAGGCGAAACCAAAGACTCTCCCAAACTCCAAAACCATCGAAGGCACCCACAGCTGCGCACAATTCTCTGCCGCGAAGCCGCCCGATGTGAACAGCGCCTCCCATTGTGAGAAGGCAGTGCAACGAGCCACTGAACCGCGATGGCGAATTGCGCTTGTGGCGGGGGTCTGGGATGGCTTTCATTCTACCGACACAGACCCCAAACCCAAACAGTGAGATGGCACTTACTGTACCAGTTCAACTGCCTAACATGCTTAACTAAAATCCAGGGTATACTGGCACATGCCAATGTTCACACAGCGCACTGAGGCGGGAAAGCGGGAGTTGCAGTACATAATTGTGAATGTGTCGGGCAGGAGAACAAACGGCGGGTTTGCAGACCACACCAGACCAAGGAGCATCTGAGACCCTTACTGCATGGCCCTGCTAGGAGTTTAGCGACTTCTAGCGATTTGAAGCCCAAATGAGCACAGGCCTGTGGTGGGATCACCGTGCTCTTAGCGATCCTATTTCTCACTTGCCCTTACTTCGAACACTGCTGTGGAAATTTACAGGTGTGCCATGGTGTCCCAACAAAATTAACGCATGCCCCTGTGCTCTCCACGAGACAATCTCCCGCCGTGACAGCCCGAAGCTGAACCTGCATGGTACCGTGCCTCGCCCAAGCGTGCAGCCACAAAGATGAGGCCCTGCCGCGTCCTGAAAAATCCGAAATCTCGCAGGGAAAGCAAAAACACCATGGCCTCCCATGTTTGAGGACAGGCAGTAACAAGGATGAGTCCCTGCTTTCCGCTGGGAGGTCGAAAGATGATTTCCAGGAGATGCGAGAGGAAGCTGATGCTTGCTTCTTTCTCTTCTCACGGCCGAAGCTCCAAGACAAATTGTAGGGATGTCGACGACCAGAGTGACTAGAAGCGTGAGGGAGCTTCAAAGCTCTGTGCTGGGGCCCGAGAGTGGCCGGCTCTTATCTGGAGAGGGGCCTCAAACGGCGGACACATGGCTACTACTCCACAATCATGAAACGTCTCCCAGCAGGCGCTCAGCATTTATCAAGTCTCCTGGTAATTATGCACGAATACATACCACAAAACCTGATTTGGTTAATACTGGAAGTGCCATGATGTAACGATTTCGGTCACTGCTGCCAGGGTGCAGGACCTCACAAAGCGGTTCATCGAAGGTGCGGAGCAACTCCTCCAAGGAAGCAGTACTTCAACACTCCGACTGCACAGGTCACAGCAGCTCGCAATTTCACCAGTCTCTGCGGCACTGTGCTTTCCGTAAATCGGTGGCTCTGCAAGACAAAAGTCACGGTCACGGGACGCATCCTGCAGGCGTTTGGCTCTGCGATCTGTCGACGAGGTGGCTTTCTTCGTCTGCAGCCTGGGCAAAGGAACAGAAACTGAAGCTTGCAGATAGTTTGAGGCGAGAAGGCGGAAGTTGTGGCATTCTCTAGCTTCGGGCACAACCACTTTCTAGCTCCAACTTTCTAGCTCCACGCTTTCGGAGATGTCACCAAACAGGTTCGACCAGCCAACACCGCCTCGGGCAGCACCGCAGCCAAGAGGCTGGAAAAAACACCAGAACGCATCTGCCTGAGCCTCCTCCAACGTGACGCCGGGAAGGAGGCCTTACCCAGACAGAATCACTCCCCAGCAGCTAAGTGGCACTTTCGTCAGCCAGTTCAGCAGATGCTGCTTTGAGCTGATTAAACACTTGCACTATGTCTGTGCCAACTCTGATGCCGCCCATCAGATGACACGCAAGACGAAATAAGCCAGGTGGATACACAATCCACGAGCTGGCGAAACACGCAAACCCGAAAGGACTAATCAACTGACCTGTTGCACGAGGGCACCAAGGTTCGTCTGTGTGTGCGTGCGTGCGTGTGTGTGCTGAAAAAACACCTGGTCGGCTGCTCAAGCCAAAGTTTTCGCCCAAATCCTACCTGGGTCCTACCTTCAACCGACGGTGCGTCCGAAGTAGAGGGCAACAAAACCGAAGAGAACTACCTTCGCCTGGAGGCCACTGATCCTCTCACAAACCGAGGTGCCGTACATGAGCAAGGCAGCGATGTGCGTGGCTCCAGGAAGATGATCGCCTTTCGGAGCCGAAATAGTTTGAGCAATCTCGACCTGGGCTTCGGGAAGGAACCTGCTTCCACAGCCGCACAGCACCCAATGCCAGGCAGGCCAGGGAGCAATTGCTTCCGGAACGCCCGGACTTTCCATAAATTCTTCACCTTAGGGCGCATGGATCCCCGCCAACGGCCCCCTTTGGAAAGGTGACGCTGCCTCGAAAAGCTCGCCGCAGCTCGCGTTCCGCCTCCAGTCGAAGAGTCTGCGCCTGAAAAGCCAGAAACCCCAGCCACAGCTACCCAAATGTCACAAGCCGTCCCGTCTGCCAAAGACTGAACCGCTGCAGTTTTACCCGGAAAGAAATTAAAGGCCACTCTTGGCCTCCTCTCGCTCTCACGGATGCCTCGGCTGCTGCCCACGCCCGTGCCCGAAGCTCCTCAAAGCCTGAACGGCCGTGGCCACTTTGGAGGAGCGTCGCTCGCCAGCGCCTGCGACTCGTCTCTACCGCCGCACGACTCGTTGCGACTGGTTGCGACTGTCCCTGCTCCGCGACTCGGCCTTGACCGTCCCTCCAGCATCGGAGCAGGTAAAGACCTTGCAAGCCACATAACCGCCTCCAACGGAGTGAGGTTGTCCTTGACACGCAAAGCCTTGCATGCCTTCTTTGTGGGCATTTTTGGGTGGTCAAGTAACTGCCCCATCAGGTCCAGTCCTTGTCAGCCACGCAGCCCCAAAAGTCTGCTGCGTGATCTTCGCAGCCGCCGTAGAACTTGGCAATTTGCTCCCTGAGCCGTCGCGCTGTGAAAAGCTTGCTGCAACAACCTGCTCTGCTGCACCCACTGCGTCTCTGCTTGCAACCCAGCAGCGGCGACCGATTTGGTTGCGCGTGGTTTCTGACGAAAGACACCCATGAATGCATGCGTTCAGGGATCGCAGTTGTGCCTTCATTGTGCTATGCTGCACTGTTGAGAATTTCGATGACATCTGATGGATGGCTGTGCTTGGCCGAAGCCGGCAGACACGTTGCCCGGCCCGCTGCCTCTGGCTCGCGCCATCATACGCTTGCACTGCCGAGAGCAATGTTTCCTGCACAAGGCCCAACGTCGGGTTTCACTTGCTGCTTGCAGGAGCTTGTCGAGTGTAGTCGCATGATGAGAGATGATCAAACAACTTTGCAAGTTCTCGTCCTCGCAAGGGCCCGGCACTCGCAGCTCGGCCTCAACAAGCGTGGCTCAAGGTTGATGAAGGGTGCAAATCACCACCGTTGAAGCATCGTCCCCTTTCGTGTCTGACATGGCTGTGGCTCTGATTAGCTCTGCCTGCCCTGGACATGGACAGTCACACCAAACCTGGTCTGGCGTCTTGGGCATACAACCCGGATTCGAAACCGGACTAAACCAGGATCTGCACCATGGCCTCACTGCAGTGATCAGGTGCCTGGAACGTCGAGATTCGCAAAGCGGAGAGCTGTCATGTTCAGTGCATTTTGTACATGAGGAGGAGCTCCGGGACAGCCTCACCCGAAGCCGGCGACACGGAGCCCGCGGCCGTTGAACAGGTGGAGAGCCGTCTCAAGACCTGTCACGGCGTCACGTATGATTTGAGACGGACATGGATTGTCTTGTCCTCCTGTGAGGCCTTGATCTCCGCGTGCAGCTCGTCGATCTGCTCGGACTGCTCATCCAGCTGATCTGCGGATGCCTCACTTTGATACACGGGTCATAAACTGCGTGATGCATCTCTGCAACTGGCCTCAACCTCCTGCTGGAAGAGCTTCATGGCACAAAGCCGCTTCTCGTCTTTGCTGAGTGGCCAATCCAGGGCTCCTGGCAAGGGGAGAGCAGAAACAATTTCTCGAGGTTTCAGTCGTCCTCCCGGAAGAACAGCAAATGATCTGCACAGGTTCCCTACTTTCATGAGCCAGGGCACGTACGGCGAGGCCCGCTGGCGGTCCTCTCTTGCAGCGCCACACAGAAAGACAACTGGTTCGCGTGATGAATTGCTGCACACTCCGAAGAACAAAGCCTGGGGGCAGCAACCACCGTCAACCTGGCCTCTGCGGTCTGTCGTGCTACAGCTCAAACGACCACCGCCTCACTTCCATGCAATCTCTGGAAACTGACTCTTGCGGGCTTGTGGCAACTGGCCTGCATCGTTTTCGGACGCCATGCTTTAGCCCTGCAGGACAGAAGCCGCACACGAGCTGGCCGCTGCTCTCTCCCTCGGACTTGATCAGTTCTCTCTGGTCTCACTGGCGATGTGAGGGTCTACGAAAGCAGCTTCTCCAACACATTCCACTAACCCGCCCAGGCATCCCCGGGAACATCCCTCTGCCACGCTTGTACCAAAAACTCCAAGGCCTCTTCTCTCCAAGCGGATGCGCTGGACAGCACGCTGAGACAAAGCAGCTTCGACAGGCACTCTTGCACAAAACTCCTTCAATTCAAAACCGAGCAGCCACTCAGATATTCCCAGAAGATCACAGGCCACAGCCGACACAGACGTGCAGTGCCGACAAGCTGACTCAAACTTTTGCACGATTCAATTGAACTTCTGTCGAGACCAATCCTGTTCCTCCACATCGGTCGAAACAGTGCACCTACACAGAGAAAGACAATTCCAACTTCTGTCACGTTGCACTTGGCAGCAAAGCCCTGGTGAAGTCTGTTTGTACACTGCGCTGCAGGCTGTGAAACCTGCAGCTGAAAGCTCAAAGAAGGGCCTGAAAGCGTGGAAAACACGAAGCAGCAAGAATCCTTTCCACATGTCTTCATGATTCCAGCTCAGGCGACTCCTTTGGCAGTTTAACCTGACGTGAAACACATCCATCAAAAGTTATCACCCCACCGACCAGCCCGATCTTGCCTTCTGCACCGTAGAAACACCGTAGAAGTCCAGTTCACATACCACAAACACCATGAAGAAAACCCTGCTCAGATGACCAATCGAGGCGTCACGGTCGGCCGTGCGGCCTGGCAAGAAGCGAACGTGACTAGGAACCGGTGGGGCGAGCCGGCTTCAAGGCAGAGTTGACAACTGCCTCGGCAACATCTGTCTTCTGCTTTCCCTGCATTCTTTCCTCCTTGCACGTTGAGCCCGCTCCGGCCTTTCTAGCATTCTAGAATGGCATATAGCTCGCAGATTCGTCACACATGCTCACGGTGGTCCTTGAGAGCTTTCAGCGCAGCTCTGAACTTGGCACTGTCGGTTGGCTCTCCGTGCGAGTCAATGGCAAAGCGCTCCTGTTGAGCCTGCCATAGAAGTCTGGACAAGGGAATGCTGGGCCGGGCCCAGCAGCCCCGAATGCGACCACCCTGTATTCTAAAGATACACAAGCTTGGTACATCGCTTGGTAGAGCCTCCGAGAAGGTAATGACGGTATAGCTTCCCATGCTTTGTGGCTGACCCTCTGGCTTTACGTTGTTCAAGATCCACCTCAGAGGCCCAGTCGCTCAGTCCCTTCGTCAACGCGGAGGTCGCGAGCTGAGCTCGAGACCACGGAGGCAATGCACCGCTGCCCGCGCCAAAGGCCAAGCACACGGCAAGAATGAGGCCTTGCAGGTATGGCTGAAAGCCTGCAGTGCACATCGAGAAATCCTTGTATGTCTTCTTTCTGAATTCTCCGGGGCCTCTCATGGCAGCACGTCGCATAAAGCACGTGGCTCCGAATTTGAACCCTTGAGCCACACTGTGTCCGGTGCGCGGGTTGCCCCACAGAGCAGGTGACGGATGGCGACGTGACAAGCAGTTTGTGGTGGCATTTCAAGCTTTTGCTGTCGGCTGGCCGGAGGGGGAATCCCATGCCCCGTGATCGAAAATCTGTGGTGCCGATTCTGCACCAGTGCTTCGGAGTGGGCGGGGGCTCTTTGTCCCCTGCCGAAAGTGAAACCAGGACAGTGGATCACAGGGAAAGACGCGGACCTGCTCTTGTGGCAGCGCTACGCACGGCCGTGGCTTCATGACCCAGAGAATCGACCAACAAAGAGAAGGCCGAGGCGGAGTCCTCGAGCAGAGCCGCCGGACTTCCCAGCTCCAATAGCTTCCCCGCTTGTAAAACCATGACTTTGTCATAGTCTGCAACGGTCGCCTCAAGTAGTTCCATTCGCACAAAGGCCTCTTAAGGCTTATAAGGCTAACAAAGGGCACAATCACATAGTGCATGCCAAGGCTGCTAACCGGTGTGCGATAGTGAGCAAGGCGGTGCCAGCGCCTGCTGCCTTTCGCAGGCACGATTGGACCTGGGCATCGGTCGCCGCGTCCACGGACGACGTCGCCTCGTCGCACACAAGGAGCTGCGGCTTGCGAAGCAAAGCGCGCGCAAGGCACAGAAGCTGGCGTTCACCAATGGACCTAAGGGTCCACGTCTCGGGAGCGACCACTGTCGGAGACTCAACAGCAATGCACCAACAAGCAGCACATGATAGCACATGGCGAATGTTGAAATAGCAGCACTATAAAACCCATGCAAGGGGCAGGTTCGCACCAGCTTGTTCTATCTGGGTTTCCAGTTCCACTGTTTCTGCCAGTTGGGCTTGCAAGAGCGCTTCTGCGCAATCCGCCTTGTCAAACTCCCCGAAGGGATCCAGATTGTATTGCACATTGCCACTGAAGATGACAGGATCTTGCGTGATGATGCCAATCGACTTCCTCGCCACGTCGAGCGGCAGAGATCCAAGGTCCACTCCGTGCAAGCGGATGGATCCCCCTTCTACTGGCGAAAGCCGAAACAAAGCCACAGCTAAAGTCGATTTGCCTGAGCCGGTGCGCCCGACAACAGCAAACCGCTCGGCTGCAGCTACTTCGAACGAAATCGAATCCAATGCCAACGGCAACTTTGGCTGGTAGCGCAGTGCAACATTCTCAAAGATCAGAAGTGGAGAATCGATATTCCAAACGACCATGGGCCGCAGCTCTTCGCCTTCTGGAGCTGTGGTTCTATGCCAGCTGTCCAGTCCCTGATGCGCCCCTTCGCAAGGAACATCTGAGGTGTATTCGACCATTCGCTCCACGGAAGTGAATACAGCCTCTGCCTGGCTTGAGAAGATGCAGTTGAAGCCCAGAGACGTCGAGAGATTCGTGGTCCAAATGAAACACAAGCCGACCAGCCCGGCGGTAATCTCTTGACGTAAAAGCCAGCAGCCCAAGCCAACCAGTCCGGCCGTCAACGCAGCCAAGAGCTCCACGTGCACTCCAAGCCAGCGGCTCGAGGTGTTGAAAGTGAGCACCGCCGCCGAGTTGCTGTCCACGAAGCTTGCCAGCTTCTCCTTGTAGCGCAGCTCGGAGGCGAAGGCGCGGACACTCACGATGCCTTGCAAGGCCTCGGAGTAGAGGGATTGGATCGGACTGCGGGAGACGCTGTCCAGTTGCTGGAACTGTCGGATGGACTTCCGAGCGAATTGGAACAGGATGGTGTAGATGAATACCTGGACGCCAACAGCAGGTTCCCTTATCGATCATTCACGATGCTTGTGTGTAGTTGCTGGCCAGATGCTGGGAGTGGGATAATTAATAGAGAGTATGGCCAGAGCGTGCCCGCCATGACGGCCAACGCGCCCAAACACCTCAGGCACAGTTGGAGCTTTCCTCCATGCATGCTGTAACAATTTCACTCTGTACTTGTCCTGGTCTTCATTGATAGCAATGCCCGAACAGAAGACGATATCAAAAAGTCAGGCATGGGAAGGAATGTGTGGATCCGTTTTTTCGGCATTCGATATTGATGCTTCTCTCGCTCGCGTGTCCGCTTGCTTCCTTTCTTGCTGCCGTGGTGTGCTAAACTCTCTGACCTCAGAGGCGCACCCCCAACGGCTTTCGGAGCCACTTTGAGGAATCCTGGAGTTAACTCCGCATTAGCATTCAACAACATTCTGCTTCGATTCGGACATGGCTCTACTGTAACAAGCAAGACCCGCTGCTCCACAGATATTCCGAACGAGCATCGAACAAGCATTCATCGATATATATATATATATAAACATATCAACCTGCCGATGCCTGGGTGTTCGATGCTCTCTGGTGCCGTGGCACGGGGGCGGCAGGTTAGTACGGTGTCATCTATCGATGTCATGAGACTTCATGTCCCCAAGTTCAGCAAGTTACATCAGCATGTCCTTCCAAGTATGAACAAGACAGAACAAACTTACTTCAATAGCACAGGGATGGACACGCCAATCTAGGCGACATTGCAAGTCCAGCGCTCTGAGCTCCCGACCATCTGTCCTACAGTCAACACATGGAACCCTGTGTTGACGTAGTTGTTGTTCCCAGTCCGAAGGGTCTGTAAGGGGTAGCTGCCAGCCTTGTTTCTTCTCTTTGTGGTGTTGCAGGCGGCGGAAGGCCCCCCAGCTTAAGCCTGCGGCTTCCTCGGCCTTTTGCTTGGCCCAGGCTCTGCGTTCGTGCCGTTTTGGTATTTTATAAATTGTTTCCATGCTTGCTTTGCCTCTTCCCCTCCTCCAAGGTTTTTGGCAGTGTGGCGAAGATGTTTAAGGTGGCTGCTCTCTTGGTATTTGGCCACTGTCCTGCAGGGCTTTGTAATTGCTTTCGCCATGATCTCGATGCTGTGGCGTTGGTCCAGCACTCTAGGCGCTGGTGCCTCCAGACACCTTTGGGCTTGCTCGTCGTTTTTGAGACGTCGGGGATCCCATGTTGTGGGGTTTGCTGTGATGTTTTGTTTGGGTTGTAGACTTTGACCCCGTCATGGTCAGATGCGGCTCTGTGATTGCGGGCACCACTCCCCCTGTGAGTGTGCTATTTCTCTGGTGGCAACGTAGTCCTGTCTCCTGGGGTTGAGAGCAGTGTTGTCAGGCAAGGGAAGTGGCTAGGGACATGGCAATCTTGTCGTGGAAGGGTAATGTTATGCTCGGTGAGCCATTGAAGGATGCGCTCCCCCCTCCCGGTTTGTGAGTTGGTTGCTATGGTGAAGGGTTGGGAGAAAACCTCATTGGCATCCATACCAATCAATAGCTTTTCGCTCCCGATCTTGCTCCCCCAGTGTGCCAGTATGTCACAGGTTCGGTGAATGTGGCATGGTGTGGTATGTGGCCTGACAGGCATCTTAGTCGAGGCCGTTGTGTGGTGAGTATCGTTGCACAAATCTCCCCAGGCATCCCGCTTGTGTTCCTGTAGCAGCCAATGGTTTTGTTGCGTGCAACCGCAACTCCCCTCCATTCGTTGGCTTGTTTGCTTGCTACAATAACCCAGTGTTCACTCTCTCTGCGTAAAGTCCCCGCCTCAAGATGATTTTTTGAAGCATGACAATAGCGACTTTCTGCAGTAATTCCTCTCCCCGAAAGTTCTCGAGGACTTCCAGCGCGTTTTCAGCCGTAAGTCCCCCGCCTTTCCAGGAGATGATGCCGAATTCCAGTTGCTGTTGTCCCCCGTTTTGCTCCGTTTGACGGTGTAGAGGGGTGTGAGACCGGTGGCGAGTAATTCAGCGCAGCTGGGCAGCCAAAGGCTTCCACGCCCGGACGTCCCCCTCGTAGCGTCCAAGCTGTCTGCAATCACTCAGATATCGACCCATCCTACCCCGGTTTCATCTGCAGAGGATGGCTTGGCCGTTGTTGAGGAGCTTGCTTTGACATTGTTGATCCAGGTGCTCCCCGTTCCAAACTCCACCTCCAAGCGGTGCGGGTCCCGGCTTAGCCACAAGCGCTTGACTTTGCCTGCCAGCTTGGCTCTGCGTCGTCGTTCAGGGCTCTGTGAGAGGGCGATCCATGCCAGTCGCGGTTCCCCCGTTGGCTTGTTGCCGACTTCCACTGCCGCTTTGCGAACTCTGCTGATTGCGGCTTGCATCCTCTTGCGTTTTTCTTCCTGGCTCTCCCCCGGCCTATCCGGGACCGGAATAAGCATGTATCCCCTCCGCACGCCACCCCCGGCACTGTAGCTCGCAGGGTCGCTATCTCGTACTGGTAGCTCACGCCCCTCCCCCCGCAGGCGCACGCGCACCTTCGTGTCCCGGCAGGTTTTGAAGGTCTCAATGGGGGTTTTTCCCCCATGAGCTCGGCTGCACAGCCTCTACGTTGAAGTGCCTCTCCCTTGTGCAAACAACAAACTCTCTCTCTCTCTCTCTCTCTCTGTCTCTCTTGGGCTTGAGGAAAGGGGTAGGTACTGGTAGGTCAGACCCCTCCCTCTGTCGCTCTCTCTCTGTATGTAGGTGACTGCAGCAACCTAGATCCCGAAGGCGGTTAGAAGCAGGGGAGGGGGGGAAAGGGGATCGACCAGCGAGGCGAGTCGCAGCGTGCCGTGACAGCTAGGGGGGAAGAAACCGGGACTAAACAAGGACAGTCTGCGGGGCGCCGGGCTTGCGACAAAGCCACAAGCCACGCGAGGTGCTCTGGACCTCCATCTCCAAAACATCAGCGTGGTGCTTGACAGCGGCAGTGAGCACCGGACAAGCGCGAGCGACCTGTCTGGAGGCAGCGGTGAGGCATTTGATGGCTGTCGCATACTGCGGGTGGAGCGTAATGTGGTCAGCCCGCACTCGGCCTTTACACCACCAGGAGCAAGAGCTGCGACAGGCAAGAAAGAAAGCTTTGACGACGGAGTCAGGGACTTGGGGCAGCAGAGGCATAGCCCAGGTGATCTTTGGGAGCACCAAAGACAGCAGGAGTTGCTCACGGGTCTCCATGCTACCAGGTAGCCCACCCACAGCACAGGCAAACTCACAAAGAAGCTCGCTGCAGGCGCGGCCCTTGGGGAACGGGGCGACCATGCTGCAAGAAGAGGCCCAAGTGTTCGACACTGCGAGCCTGAGGGTCAGCCCGGCACCATTCCTGTCGCTTCCCCATGTGCTCCACAAGGCCAAGCCGCTGGTCACTCCAAGAGGTGAGCTGCTGGGCAAGGAAAAACCGCGTCAGTGAGGGATCTGTCATCCATATAGGCCCAATATAGGCGAAAGGCTTAACGCCTGGCAGCGTCTCCATAAGCTTTGTCCAGGGAGCAAGGACATAAGCCAGGAAGTGCGGGGAGCAAGGGTCCTCGGCCGGCAGGCCCGAGGAAGCTTCGACAACCCTGGGAGGAGGCACAGCGTGGACCATGCAGGCGCGCGGGGCCGACCAGACCAAGTGTCTGAAGTACTCTAAAACAGGCTCAGGGACGCCCGCCGCAGCACCGGCACACGCAAGCAATGCCGTGGTCAATGCTGTCGAAGGCCTTACGCAAGTCGAGCTCGGCCCCCGCACACAAGGGGTCTGCAGCCACGCTGTGGTAGCATCGATTGTGCTACAGCCCGAAACACCACAGAACTGCCCGTCCGGGACCGCGGGAAAACCACGAAGCATGGCCCGATTCCATGCCGGAACGAGAGTGCTAGCAATGGCAATTGGGCGAGTAGCAGCCTCACATCTCTTGGGAATGCCCACGACACGCCAAGAGAAGAAGCGGCTCTGACACTTTTGCGCAGGCTCAGAGCGGGGAGCCTTCAGCAGGGAAACGAAAATCCTCACGAGATCGTCGGCGAGACAGGGACAAGCGCGCATGAGGCCTTTGAGCTCGCTGGCAGACCAGCCGTCAAAACCAGGGCTGCCAGAGCAGGTTGCAATGGCTTGCATCAGCTGCTCAGCTGAGGGGGGCTGGAAAGCCGACACACTAGGACCAGGGTCGAGACCAGCAGCATTGGCGACTTCGTCCCACGCCTCTTGAGGGGCAGGGTGGGTTTTAGTCCAAAGTTTTTCCCACTCCTCAGTCATGGTGGCAGAGTTAAGGTTTGGGTCAGGAGGTTCGCAAAGCTTAAGAGCATTAGCACCGCCCTTAACGGCGGACGCCGAGGAAGTCCAGAACCGCCGCCTCCATCGCTTGCAGCTTTCGTTTTGGAGCCGCTTGGCTTCGGCCTGCACAGCAGCACTAGCGACGCTGATGGCCTCAGCCTGATTGGCAGGAAGGTTGGCATGCCCGACCAAGACAGTCCAGTGCCGAACCTGCGAAGCACTCAACGGAGAGCTGCCATGATGGGAAACTTGCCTTTCGACAGCAGCCCTGTGCAACCTCTTCCAGCGGCGAAGCAGCACGGACTCACCGGGTCTCAAAGACGAAACCGACGAAACCGAGGCGACGGAACGAGACAAAGGCACGGAGCCTTTGGGACGTTCAGCAGGTCTGTCGCAGGAAGCGAGACCGAGGCGCACTGCCTCGTTGCACACCTTTTCAGCTGTGCAGTGCCAGCCTTCCAGAGAGGCAAAAGGGTCGTCCGCCGTGAGGGTGCTCTCCCGCGCAACTTGCTGTAGCTGTTGAACTTGCTCAGGCGAGGGGAGCTTGTGCCAAGTGAAAGTAGCACACCTGCGAAAACGAAGTTCCGACGCAGAACCGGGAGGCAGCCCGGTCAGACACCTGCACGCTGTGCACCACAGGAGAGAGGGTACCGCCCAAGGCCAAGGCCAAGTCACCGTAGGCAGCTCTGTAGCTAAAGTCGCCGACGATCAAGCAAGGCTTCCGCAGCTCCAAAGTGGAGCGCAGGGTGCAAGAGACAGTCGGGAAATCCAGCCGAGACGCATGCCCGTAAAAGCTAACAACGGCCAAGTCAGCAAACACTCGCCCACAAGCACGGTGGGCTTCTTCGGCAGGGAGAGCAAACTGCATCGGAGCAGACTTGTCTTTGCGCCGCCACAGCAAAGCAGTGCCGCCTTGTCTCACACTGTTGGCCCGCTGGACAGGAGGAAGAGGGCTGAAGCAGGCCTGCCAGCCCCACTGACGGGCTAGGGCACACGCCCAAGTAGGGCTACCACGGTGACGGGTCTCCTGCGAGGAGATGTAGTCAGCGCCAACACGCTTCGCTTCACGCAAAGCTTCCAGAAGCCTGTCCTTGGTCAAGCAAGTAACGTTAAGAGTAAGAAACCCAGTAGTAGCAGCGGCAGCAGCAAGGACAGGCTGCGCGCCCCCCAGCAGCGGCCGGCCCGGGCAAGAGTGGCCTAGTCACGACGCCTTGGGAACCTGAGCCTCAGCCTGTTTGGCCTTCCTTTTGAGATCAGTGCGCTGGAGGCTGGCTAGACCCGCAGGGGTCTTCTGCCACCTATCGATCTTAAGCATTTGCTGCTTATGGAAGGCGTCCGCAAACTCGGTACCTCGAGTCTTGACGTGCCTTGGTTCGGCACAAGAAGGTCAAGAGCCCAGTCGTTGCCCTTAGGCTTAAGCCAGGTGTAGTGCTAATTGCAGAGCCGCAACCAGATCACAGCAGGATTCGTGCAGTTTTTCTGTTTCCTGGCTCGCGGCGGCCCGACAATGTACAAAAGCCATTTGGACAGTTGAGAACTCCAAGTCCAAATCCGAAACTGACAGTGCAAGGAGCAAGCCAAGGCGTGAAGGCTGACAGCGTTGGCCCACACGCCTGCGGTTGACGTGTCTTTGGCGAAACCTTCAACTCCAGAAGGGCAAGCGTCAGCGTACTTTTCAGGCTGCTTCCGCAACTCGTTTGCCGCTTGACAGCGCAAGTAGCCCTGCAGGCGACCTTTAGCCGCAAGGTCCTGGGGCTTCGGGGTGGACTTGGAGTGAGCCGCCATCGCAATAGCGATGGCGAGGTAGGCACAGTCACCACCTCCCCCGCATTCAGTGTCCTCGAAGTGAGCGTCGCCAGGCAGCAACGGGACAGCGTCAGGTGTGTGCGCACGCTTCTTAGAGGCGACGCCGGCAGACTCGAGCTGGGGCTGTTCATTCATGATCTGATCGCCGCCCACATCAGTAGCACTAGCGGGGGGATCGACAGCAGTAGCAGTGGGCTTGGGAGTCGGCTTAGCAGGGGTGGAGACAGCTGAGCTACCCCACTGGGGGGTCGTAGTGGACAGAGGGGCAGCTCTCGTTCTTTTGCTTTTCTGGGAGGCAGCGGCAACACAGATGCCAGACTCGTACACAGCCGTACCGGCTTGGGCATCGGGCCAAGCTCTAAAGTACCAGGCACAGGACGCAGCTCGGCAAACCTGGGCAACCTTGGGAAAGCCGTGAGTTCGAGGGCGTCCTCTGGCATCCAGTCCTCAGGAGCACCGGTGAGGGACCAGCGTGGCGAGATGCCCCCTTCAACCGGAGCCGCAGCAGCAGTGGAAGTGGGCACGCCGAGGTTAGCGCGGCCCCCAGGTCTGTATGCGAGGCACGCGCCCGAGTGCTTGAGGACAGCTTGCTGGGCAAGAGCACGGTACTCTTGGTTTGGAAGTTCACTGGGCCGAGCAAGCCACTGCACGCTAGAGGTGTTGGCACCGTGGGGAGCAACAAAACAGCCTGCAGGTAAAGCAAGTCCAGTCAAACGTTGAGCGTCGGCTTTGCGCACCTTGAAAAAGTCAAGTAACCTCATCAGGGTACGTTGCAGCAGCGTAGGTCTTGTACACCCGTTCGGCAACAGAGGCAGGGAGGGTAGCCGCAGGCAGAGAAGCGGGCTTCTTGGCGACACGCTGAAAGAGGTGAGGCGAAGAGTACGCTGCAGCAACAGTCAGACGGCAGGTGAAAAACTCTGGCGACGGAGCGTCTGCAGCACGGGCCTTGTCTTGAAACTGTTCAGGAGGCTTCAAGGAAACGGGCTGAGGCGCAGGAACGCTTGGGTCACAACCAGGAAAAGTGCGCAGCGGGACCCTGTGAGCTTGAAGCCCCGGAGAGCCAGCGGTTTGCACAAGCACGGAAGTGGTCGCTTTGTCCGCAGGGGCACAGAAGTCCACAACAGTCACAGGAAAGGCAGGAGTGCAGGAAGTGCTCCACTGAAGAGCGCTTTCGAGCTCGCGGTCACTGTAAACCGGCACCACGCACGCCGAGGAAACGCCGCTGCACAAGCTAGCAACAGACACCAAGGGGCTTGTCCAACCGCTAGGGTGCAACTTACGCCTGCAAGGGCGAGGGGCAGGAGTTTGAGGGTTGCCTGCTTTGACAACGTCAGCGAAGTTGGCGACACGACGTTGAGAGGCGTCAGGCCTCGCGACGGCAGGTGCTGCAGCACAGGGGGAGGCAGGGTGGGTCTTAGGGCCAGGGGTCTTAGGGACCTTAGGAGACCGTGGAGGTCTGGCAGCGCGGGCCTCAGGAGCCCCCGGTGGGCAAGCAGACTTGTCTAACACTTTGCGGAGAGCGGAGCGGACGGCTGCGTCAGATGGGGGCCGGCTAGCAGACACTGCTTGGGACAACAAAGGCTGTACCTGCTCCCACAAGCTGCGCGGGGTGTCAGTGGAGGAGGCCGGGGCAGCCACACGCAGTGTTCGGGGCGACTTTCGGCGTCTAGGGCGCCGCACACGGGAAGGCACTGAGGGAGAGGAACTTTTCAGCTCTTCAACAGTCTTGGCAAGCTCAGCAACTGTACAAGCAAGCTGCTTAAGCGTCTGAGCCTCGTTACGGCGACGCTTGGTCGCAGCAGCACCACCGCACCTCCGAGCAAAGGGTCTTCGTAAAGGATGGCAGGCCACACACTGCCACAGTCACAGTTAACCCCAGGCAAGGGCAGCGACAGAAAGGGCCGAGAGGAGCACCGTATGGCGGAACGGCGACACGCAGTCCAGTGCGCACAAAGGACCCGGCACAGAAAGCGAAGCCGAGTAGCGTCGCGGATTCTGGCAACGCCGGCGCGTCGCGCAGCGAGGGCAACAAGGCCAAGGCGACGATGCACCGCAGAACGCAAAGCCATCCGTTGCCCAACCGAACGCCCGACACGGACAGGGCGGGACCGAGAAGCCGGTTTCGTCTTAGACCTTGTAGGCCGGGTGCAAGCGGCACGGGCAAGACGCGAAAACGACGCAGCGAGAGAGGACCAGCGGGACACATGCCAGCGGCCCACAACCGGAGACAGGCGACAGGAAGCGGAGGCACAGGTGACCCGCCGAGACCTTCGCATGACGCCTGAGCGACACAGTGCAACAACACGCTTTTTGCGAAAGGGGGAACGCACAACCGACGTGGAACGAGAGGCACGCCCCACGGGACCCCGAAAGAGTCTCGAATGAAGCAGTGCAGAACGACGGAGTGCAGCAAAGCGCGGGCCACTCAGGGGCCTCAAGCGCGCGGAACGACATGATGCAGAGGGCACGGCCTGTGCGGACCTTGAAAAAGGATCACCTATGCCTCGCCTGTGCAGAAAGAACATGCATGAGCCACGAAGGCCACAATGACGCAACATCCGAATTGCAGCATCGACCCAAAGCCGACTGAGGCAGATGCAGAAAAGGGCCTGGTAAGACGAGTAACACTCGTGCAATCCAGCATTGATTAAGGTGAGGCCGCCTACAGAAAGTGGCACGGCCAAAAAGCTTGCAATGCGAAAGCGCCTCCCGAGCAAAGTACAGCTGAGGACAGACATCCCGTAGCCGAGCATCGAGAGGATGAGGGCGTAGCAATTCCACACCTCTCTCATCATCAAGCTGGTCAAACAGCTCAACAAAACAAAGTAGCACACCGCCTTAGGGAGGCAGTAATTAATGCAGCAGCCCACTTTTC